TTGGTGCGGGGAGCAGGAACGGGCCGGACCGGGCTGACGAAGCGCACCACTGACTTGGTGCGGGGAGCAGGAGCGGGCCGGACCGGGCCGACGAAGCGCACCACCGACTTGGTGCGGGGAGCAGGAACGGGCCGCCCTGGGCCGACGAAGCGCACCACTGACTTGGTGCGGGGAGCAGGAACGGGCCGCGCCGGGCTGACGAAACGCACCACTGACCTGGTGCTAGTGGCAGGAACAGGCGGGACCGTACTGGGAACACACACCACTGGCCCTACGTGGGGATCAGGAACAGGCCGGACCGGACTGGCAACACACGCCAGCACCTCCCGCCGTGCCTCTACATCCTCCTTCCCCCTGGTGACCAGTGATTCCCGTAACCTGGCGGCCTCCTCTGCCAACCCGCTGGACCGCTCTATCGCGGCCTCCTGCTGCCCCGACGTCGTGAGCCCCCCCCTAAAAACTTTCTGGGGGTCTCTCCTCCCCGTGGGCCAGGCCTCTATAGTCCTCGCCCAACTCTCGCTCTTCTGCCTCCAACTCCCGCTATTCAGCTCCTCAATAGGCTTGACCCAGTCGAAGCTCTTCCTCCATTGCTCCCAAGTCCACCCTTTCTGCTCCTCACTAGGCTGCTTGGTCCAGTTCTGGTGGGTTTTTCTGTCACGGTCGTCTAAGGAGGAGGACCAAAGCGCAGCGTTGAGGGTGAACATATTTATTAAACGAATGATCACACGATCAAAACAACAGACGATAACGTGATGTCTACGGTTTTACACAAACCAAATACGAACAAAAACCCACAACCACAAAGGGAAAGACACAGTTTAAATATGGCTCCCAATCAGAGACAACCAGCCCCAGCTGACACTCGTTGCCTCTGATTGGGAGTCACTCAGGCCAACATAGAATTACAAACATAGAACTACACACCCTGGCTCAACATAACAGTGTCCCCAGAGCCAGGGCGTGACACACACCTACTCATTCAAGGGTTTTTCTTTATTTTTACTATTTTCTACAATGTAGAATAATAGTGAAGACATCAAAACTATGAAATAACACATATGGAATCATGTAATAACCAAAAAAGTGTTAGACAAATCCAAATATATTTTATAGAACAGCTCAAATAAGCAAAGAGAAACAACAGTCCATCATTTCCAGATGGGATGGCGTATCGCTGCAGAATTCTGTGGTAGCCATGCTGGTTAAGTGTGCCTTGAATTCTAAATAAATCACTGTCAGTATCACCAGCAAAGCACCCCCACACCATCACACCTCCTCCTCCATGCTTCACGGTGGGAACCACACATGTGGAGATCATCAGTTTACCTACTCTGCGTCTCACAAAGACACAGCGGTTGGAACCAAAAATCTCACATTTGGACAGATTTTCACCGGTCTAATATCCATTGCTCATGTTTCTTGGCCCAAGCAAGTCTCTTCTTATTATTGGTGTCCTTTAGTAGTGGTTTCTTTGCAGCAATTCGACCATGAAGGCCTCATTCACGCAGTCTCCTCTGAACAGTTGATGTTGAGATGTGTCTGTTACTTGAACTCTGTGAACCATTTATTTGGCCTGCAATCTGATGTGCAGTTAACTCTAATGAACTTAGAACTCTGCAGCAGAGGTAACTCTGGGTCTTCCTTTCCTGTGGCGGTCCTCATGAGAGCCAGTTTAATTAATGCACTTGAAGAAACTTTCAAAGTTCTTGAAATGTTCCTTATTGACTGACCTTCATGTCTTAAAGTAATGATGGACTGTCGTTTCTCTTTGATTATTTGAGCTGTTCTTGCCATCATATGGACTTGGTCTTTTACCAAATAGGGCTATCTTCTGTATACCACCCCTACCTTGTCACAACACAACTGATTGGCTCAAACGCATTAAGAAGGAAAGAAATTCCACAAATTAACTTTTAACAAGGCACACCTGTTAATTGAAATCCATTCCAAGTAACTACCTTATGAAGCTTGTTGAGAGAATGCCAAGAGTGTGCAAAGTTGTCATCAAGGCAAAGGGTGGCTACTTTGAAGAATCTCAAATATAAAATATGTTTTGATTTGTTTAACACTTTTTTGGTTACTACATGATTCCATATGTGTTATTTCATAGTTTTGATGTCTACATTATTATTCTACAATGTAAAAAATAGTAAAAATAAAGAAAAACCCTTGAATGAGTAGGTGTGTCCAAACTTTTGACTGGTACTATATGTCACACAAAGCTCAAACATTGTGTGCAAACATCCCAGACAGCGCCCGTCTGTTTATTCTCAGCAGGTGTGTCATGATGTAACAATAACGCCACTGTGGGCAGCGTAGCATTGGTTACATATTTCCACATCTGGCCACAGTAGAGGGATAGACTAGTATTCTAAACCTGTTTCTGTTCTTTAACATGATCCCAAACCTGCATTCAAAGCGTACCTATTGGAAGTGTACTGTCCATTACCTGGGTAATGTACAGTAGTGCTTCCAGAAGTTGATGTCAGGCATAAGATAAGATAGTACTTTAAAGGGCCAGGAGATTTTCATTACCCTTCACCTGTCCAGGAACAACTATGGGCCTTAGCTACAGTCTAATTAGTGCCTGGAGTTTTCACAAAACTCCTGCCCCTAGTCCTGTTACTACATTGTGTATTTCTCAGTGTCACAACTCAACGTATGTCTGTCTGTCATTGTCTCTGCAGGCTATGGCTTTGTAGACTTTGACAGTCCGTCCACGGCACAGAAAGCAGTGACAGCACTGAAGGCTGGTGGAGTCCAGGCTCAGATGGCTAAGGTAAGACATCTCCTCCCCTCTGCCTACGAGTGTGTTTGTGTGTGTGGACTTGCTTGTGTATGTATGTGTGTGTGCACCAAGTGGTGTGTGTCTTAGAGAGGTGCTCAGGGAGTGTGTCCCAGGCAGGCAGCTCCTGCTTCCTCAGCACCTTGTACAAAGGGCTAGCCTGTTCTCCTTGGTGGTGAGGCAGGAGGCTGAGTCACTGTCTGAGCAGCTCTCTCCCCCAGCCTTCCATGCCCAGTCACCAGGGCCCAGCGCCCAGGGCCCAATGCCCAGGGCCCAGCCATGAGCCTCGTCCCACCAGCCGGCCCCTCGGCACAATCTCAACCCACACACTTGGCAACCACACACACTCACACGCAATTCTAACCTCAGCGCCACATCATCAACAACACACACCAAACACACACTTTGCAACCACACACATACTGTTCCAACCATCACCGACACACGCCAAACACCACAGAGAAGCTGATCTTCCCTTGTGCTGGATCATTGACATTCACACAAGGGTTCTCACTAGGGTTACAAAATTCCGGGAACTTTCAATACATTCCCTGGTTTTCCAGAAATCCTGGTTGGAGGATTCCGGATTTCCTCCTTATTCCGGGCATCCTTTTTTGCAGCCATAGTTCTCGCATACCGAATAACCCATATTTCAGTCTGTCTGTCTGGCATTCATTGGGAGGTTTACAACCGCATTGTTCATTGTCATTCACAGTCATTCCTGGTGCAATTCTCATCTGCTCTGTTCTGATCCTGTGTGTGTATGTGTGTTCCTCGTGGGCTGTGTGTATATGTGTGTGTGTGTGTGTGTGTGTGTGTGTGTGTGTGTGTATGTGTGTGTGTCCCTCTGTGTTCCTCATAGAGAGGAATCACCTTCACTACAGGTCACAGTGATTAGACTATGAATAATTCATGATGTAGATTAATCTGAAATGCATTTTATAGCGTTTTAATCACATTGGCACACTAATGAATATGTTAAACAGTTATGGTTGAGATTCAGATATGCTATCATACAGCTATCTTACTTTGCTGTTATTCCAATTCAGTTTGTTTGGGCAGGCAGGTAGCATACTGAGTAGATGTGGAAAATCACTTGAATTAATCAAAAGCATAATTCAGGTATTTCAAGAAAAACTCCAAGAGTTTTTCAGAGGACTTCTTGGCTCTTTGAGTTTCAGATCGTATTTGTCATAGCTGCAGAGCGTTGGGCCAGTAACCATAATATTACTGATATATGCAAGCCAGAAGAGCTAGTCCCTGCATATGAATTCAAGGTCAGGATTATGCATTTGACTGACACATTTTGTCATGCCCTGGTCAGATCCCCATTGGGAAATTAATCAGAATGATTTCCAAACGTCTCAGAAAGGTATAATTCTCCAGATCAAACAATCATTGTAGAGACCATCTGTGGAGACTCAGAGCCCATTGCATTGTAATTATACTGTGATATCATATTACATGACTGAAGCATGAACCCTCGGTCCTGTTAACACAGCTAGTCTAACACAATGGACCTGTCTTCTCTCTCCTCAGTGACTGGCTGTCTAATAACGTGTTCAAGAGAGAGAGAGGGAGTGAGGCAGAGAGAGGGGGGGTTAAAGAGAGTGAGGCAGAGAGAGAGGGAGAGAGAGAGAGGGAGTGAAGCAGAGACAGAGGTGGTTAGAGAGTGAGGCAGAGAGAGGGAGTGAGGCAGAGAGAGGGGTAGAGAGAAAGAACCCCCTCTTCAGTGAGGTCAGATGAAGTCCAGCCAGACTGTCTCTAGATCTCCACTTAATTTCTTGCCTCTCCAGACTCCCGCTCAACTCATCCCCCTCTTTTACCTCTACCCTCTTCGTATCTAACTTTCTGTTTCCCTCCTTTAGCTCCCATTTATCACCCATGTAGGAACCACACAGATAACATCTCACAATTGTTTTTGCCAGACATCTTGATTTATGAAATTATTTCCTCAAGCTTAGAAAGGCAATCTCTGATCCTATCCCTGATCCTACTACCTCTGATCCTACCCCTGATCCTGATCAAAATAGTGAGAGAATAAGAGACAGAGAGAGACGAGTAAGAAGAGAGAGAGAGAGAGAGAGAGAGAGAGAGAGAGAAGAGAGAGACGAAGAGAGAGAAGAGAGAGAGAGAGAGAGAGAGAGAGAGAGAGAGAGAGAGCGAGAGAGAGAGAGAGCAGAGAGAGAAGAGAGAGAGAGAGAGAGAGAGAGAGATGAGTAGGAGCGATGAGAGGAAGAGAGGAGCGAGATAGAGAGAGAGAGAGCATTAGAGATAGAGATAGAGAGCGATCGAGAGATAGCTCTAGATAGCTCTACTCTTCTCTCTCTCTCTCTCTCTCTCTCTCTCTCTCTCTCTCTCTCTCTCTCTCTCTCTCTCTCTCTCTCTCTCTCTCTCTCTCATATATATCCAGGAACAAGACCCCATGCACTAACCTGTACATCTCCAGCCTGCCTATGTCTATGGATGAGCAGATTTAACCCTGTACTCCCCCTCTCTCTCTCCCTCCCTCTCCCCACAGCAACAGGAGCAGGACCCCACTAACCTGTACATCTCCAACCTGCCTGTGTCTTTGGATGAGCAGGAGCTGGAGAATATGCTGAAGCCATTCAGTCAGGTCATCTCTACACGCATCCTCAGAGACGCCAATGGCACCAGCAGAGGAGTGGGCTTTGCCAGGTAAACAACTTCTACACCTCTCACCTGAAAACAAAGTGTAAGTTCACAGGTATGTAGGAGAAGCATAAACAGACTCCCTCATACTGAATAAAGCATACCTCCATATTTAAACAGTGACAAATGCAATGTTATGGTTACATATACCTTTGTCAATGCATGGCCACCCTCAGCGGGGTCGGTAGAAACCGGAAGCACCTGGTTTAGGGCAAAAGCATAGTGGAAGAGGCGAAGCATGAAAACCGGATGCTTCTGGTTTTTGTAGACCCCGCTCAGACGTTTCATTTACGCCTGCTACGTCAGGTTAAGGCATAGCTGGCTTGCCAGGTGAACTCAACTATCTGCTGGATCCTCTGCTGGTCATTGGGGATAGTGTGTCATCCTGTAAATCACACTTTATTTTCAGGATGGAGTCAACAGAGAAATGTGAGACTATCATTCAACATTTCAACGGCAAATATATCAAGACTCCACCTGGAGTTCCAGGTGAGACATCTCTATCTGAACATGTTTTATTTTTATTAGACAGTTCTGTATGAAGCTAAGGAGCAGGTCAGGAGTAACAGAAACGCTCTTCCACAGTATCTGGATTCACTGTCCTATTTTTATATACAATATACAGTATATACACACAGAATATCCCCCTTCAGTGCTCCACAGTCACTCAACCCTCTTCCTCTCCTCCCCTCCACAGTGCCCTCGGAACCCCTGTTATGTAAGTTTGCAGATGGAGGACAGAAGAAGAGACAGAGCCAGGGAAAGTACCTGCAGCATGGCCGTCCCTGGACAAGAGATGGGGAAACGGTGAGTTCTCATTCAGACAGTAAACAGTCTGCCATCGTCCCCGTAGCCTCTCGTGTCTTTGCAAATGCTATCATTTTATCAAAGCTATTCAGATACATGTTTAATTGTATCAAGTACAGTAACGCTAAAGCTCAAATGTGTGTCTTGTTACAACTTCTATCTGGTTAGGTATTTCTCAGTCAAATGCATGTCATACTGTATGTGTGCTTACTGCATGTATCTATTTGACCACAGGGAGGAATGACCCTGACATATGACCCCACCACAGCCTTACAGAACGGGTGAGTTCAGATACACCACTAAACCTCACTGAGATAATCCTAGACATATGTACTGCAGGGGAAGCAGTATGTGTTGGATACTGATGGGTTTCTTCTCTCTCCAGGTTCTACTCATCTCCCTACAGTATGGCCCCTAACAGAATGATCGCTCAGACCTCCCTCTCCCCCTACATGCATTCTCCTGTTAATACCTACCAGGTCAGGACAGTCTGTTGTATCTCTCCTGTAAATACTGTACCTACCAGGTCAGTACACTGTCAGTTGTCCCGTGTGGCTCAGTTGGTAGAGCATGGTGCTTTTAATGCCAGGGTTGTGGGTTTGATTCCCACTGGGGACCAGTATGAAAATGCATGCACTCACTACTGTAAGTTGCTCTGGATAAGGGCGTCTGCTAAATGACAAAAATGTAAATACATTTCTCCTGTAAATACCTAAAAGCTCAGTACACTGTCTGTTGTTGGGGGAGGGAAGTAGCTAACTTCCTGCAATCTTACACATTTCTCCATTGGTCAAAGAGAAAAATGTGCCATTTTATAGTTAATCTCATGCTATTCTACACTTTTTGCAATGAGGCGGAGAGAAAATTTTGTTTTAAAGCTAATTTCCTGCTATTCTACACATTGTTACATGAGGCTGAGAGAACATTTAGCATTTCTAAAGCTAATTAAAGCTAAAATATAGGTGTGTTGACTGTGATAAAGGCACTGGATCATGCGCGGTCTTGTTTGCTAAATGAACAAATGAAGTAGGCAGTGGCATGGTGCATATAGCTATAGAAGCACAGTGACATGCCTCAATGCAGTCATATTCGTGGCTTACTGTGGGTGTGGCTTTCAGTTAGTTCTTTTTGGCAACCAATTCCTTGAGAGTGAATGTCATTCCAGTTCAACTGTTCTGTTATATTTCATCAAATCTGCCTAACCCAGTGCACTGCTTGCTAGGAATTCTATCTGATGGTGTTTGCATGTTTAGGTAAAAGACAACAAATGTCCCATTTTGAACACAGAGAAAAAAAGAGCATAAGAAATGTAGAAAATATATATATTTTTTGCTCAATCTGATTGGGTGGGCCTGGTTCCCCAGTGGTGGGCGTGCCTACACCCCTGATAAAGTCTATTGTATTTCTCCTGTTAATACCTACCTAGTCAGTACACAGTCTATTGTATTTATCCTGTAAATACCTACCTAGTCAGTACAGTCTATTGTATTTCTCCTGTAAATACCTACCTAGTCAGTACAGTGTATTGTATTTATCCTGTAAATACCTACCTAGTCAGTACAGTGTATTGTATTTATCCTGTAAATACCTACCTGGTCAGTACAGTGTATTGTATTTCTCCTGTAAATACCTACCTGGTCAGTGTAGTCTATTGTATTTCTCCTGTAAATACCTACCTAGTCAGTACAGTGTATTGTATTTATCCTGTAAATACCTACCTAGTCAGTACAGTGTATTGTATTTCTCCTGTAAATACCTACCTGGTCAGTGTAGTCTATTGTATTTCTCCTGTAAATACCTACCTAGTCAGTACAGTGTATTGTATTTATCCTGTAAATACCTACCTAGTCAGTACAGTGTATTGTATTTCTCCTGTAAATACCTACCTAGTCAGTACAGTGTATTGTATTTCTCCTGTAAATACCTACCTGGTCAGTGTAGTCTATTGTATTTCTCCTGTAAATACCTACCTAGTCAGTACAGTGTATTGTATTTATCCTGTAAATACCTACCTAGTCAGTACAGTGTATTGTATTTCTCCTGTAAATACCTACCTGGTCAGTGTAGTCTATTGTATTTCTCCTGTAAATACCTACCTAGTCAGTACAGTGTATTGTATTTATCCTGTAAATACCTACCTGGTCAGTACACAGTCTATTGTATTTATCCTGTAAATACCTACCTGGTCAGTGTAGTCTATTGTATTTCTCCTGTAAATACCTACCTAGTCAGTACAGTCTATTGTATTTCTCCTGTAAATAGCTACCTGGTCAGTACACAGTCTATTGTATTTCTATGGATGTATTACTGTGTAAAGAGGATGTATTTCTTATTCTGAAAATCTGCAGAAATCATCGATCTTATGTTGTGTGTCTCCACTCTGCTGCAGATTCACAGCCCACAGTCCTGGATGCATCATCAGTCGTACCTCATGCAGACCTCAGTAAGTTGTACTCACCACTACTGTTATTGTGGGTCTGTTACTGCCTATTAGTGAATCAGTGTGATCCGTCTCTGTCTATCTCTCTCTGTTTGAGAGAGACACACCTGATAAGGATAAACAGATGCTCTCTTTGATGTTTGAGCTCTGAGACACACTTGTGTGTATGTGCATACATGCATTTCTCTTTGTCTGTGTGTATGATAACTCTCTGTGTGTGTCCATAGGGCCAAGTCCTGACGCAGGGCATGGACCACACCATGTCCATCCAGCCCACCTCTATGATGGGGCCTCTCACACAGCAGCTCAGCCACCTCTCTATGGGCAGCAGTGGCACGGTCAGTCCCCACAGAACACAACTATAGACACATACAGTGAGGGAAAAAAGTATTTGATCCCCTGCTGATTTAGTATGTTTGCCCACTGACAAAGAAATGATCAGTCTATAATTTTAATGGTAGGTTTATTTGAACAGTGAGAGACAGAATAACAACAAAGAAAAACGCATGTCAAAAATGTTATAAATTGATTTGCATTTTAATGAGGGAAATAAGTATTTGACTTCCTCTCAATCAGAAAGATTTCTGGCTCCCAGGTGTCTTTTATACAGGTAATGAGCTGAGAGTAGGAGCACACTCTTAAAGGGAGTGCTCCTAATCTCAGCTTGTTACCTGTATAAAAGACACCTGTCCACAGAAGCAATCAATCAATCAGATTCCAAACTCTCCACCATGGCCAAGACCAAAGAGCTCTCCAAGGATGTCAGGGACAAGATTGTAGACCTACACAAGGCTGGAATGGGCTACAAGACCATCGCCAAGCGGCTTGGTGAGAAGGTGACAACAGTTGGTGCGATTATTCGCAAATGGAAGAAACACAAAATAACTGTCAATCTCCCTCGGCCTGGGGCTCCATGCAAGATCTCACCTCATGGAGTTGCAATGATCATGAGAACGGTGAGGAATCAGCCCAGAACTACACGGGAGGATCTTGTCAATGATCTCAAGGCAGCTGGGACCATAGTCACCAAGAAAACAATTGGTAACTCACTATGCCGTGAAGGACTGAAATCCTGCAGCGCCCGCAAGGTCCCCCTGCTCAAGAAAGCACATATACAGGCCCGTCAAAAGTTTGCCAATGAACATCTGAATGATTCAGAGGAGAACTGGGTGAAAGTGTTGTGGTCAGATGAGACCAAAATGGAGCTCTTTGGCATCAACTCAACTCGCCGTGTTTGGAGGAGGAGGAATGCTGCCTATGACCCCAAGAACACCATCCCCACCGCCAAACATGGAGGTGGAAACATTATGCTTTGGGGGTGTTTTTCTGCTAAGGGGACAGGACAACTTCACTGCATCAAAGGGACGATGGACGGGGCCATGTACCGTCAAATCTTGGGTAAGAACTTCCTTCCCTCAGCCAGGGCATTGAAAATGGGTCGTGGATGGATATTCCAGCATGAAAATGACCCAAAACACACGGCCAAGGCAACAAAGGAGTGGCTCAAGAAGAAGCACATTAAGGTCCTGGAGTGGCCTAGCCAGTCTCCAAACCTTAATCCCATAGAAGATCTGTGGAGGGAGCTGAAGGTTCGAGTTGCCAAACGTCAGCCTCGAAACCTTAATAACTTGGAGAAGATCTGCAAAGAGGAGTGGGACAAAATCCCTCCTTAGATGTGTGCAAAACTGGTGGCCAACTACAAGAAACGTCTGACCTCTGTGATTGCCAACAAGGGTTTTGCCACCAAATACTAAGTCATGTTTTGCAGAGGGGTCAAATACTTATTTCCCTCATTAAAATGCAAATCAATTTATAACATTTTTGACATGCGTTTTTCTAGATTGTTTTGTTGTTATTCTGTCTCTCACTGTTCAAATAAACCTACCATTAAAATTATAGACTGATCATGTCTTTGTCAGTGGGCAAACGTACAAAATCAGCAGAGGATCAAATACTTTTTTCCCTCACTGTAGATACATACACTGGACAAAGACATTGTGTTCTCAGTGCAATTCCTAATGCCACTTTCCATCCCTCAATAAAGACAGTTTTACTCAGACACGTGAATAGATTCTAAAACGATTACTTTCTAATATGTTTCTCCTCTCTATTTCAGTATATGCCTGCAAACACATCAATGCAAGGGACCTACATCCCTCAGTACACCCAAGTGCCTCAGACCAACGTTTCAGTCGAGGTAAGAAACGTCCTCCTACACAGTCACTTCACTGACGATTGAATGATCAATTGATCCTCCTCACCTCTTCAATATGTTAACAGGAAAGTGCCGTCCTACAACAGGTTGCCCTGGAGACGCCCATGGAACACCCAGACTACTCCTACCAGCACAGCAAATGAAGAGGAGGGACAGGTGGGTTTCCTAGAGTCCGTCTCCTGGGCCGCCTGCCGTCCGTACAGCTCAGCTCATAGTGACTCTGGACAGTACACACCAGACACTAGGAGGAATATGGACCAGACTGTCACACTAAAGACAAAATGATATTTTCAAATCAGAGGTTATGGTAAACTGTTGGATGAAGATGGATACAATGAAAATGAACAGAACGTTGAACATCTATTCTGATAACAGAACATGACTATAGTCGAAGAAAGAGAAAAACACCACACACACACATTATTTTCTGTGCATGTATTAACAAATTATTTTCAAAACTATTCTGAGGAGGATGAAAACCAGCAACATAAAGTTACACCACCGTGTGTCATTTTAGAGTCGTCGTTTAGTTTGACTTTTTAGTTAAATATGCAGATTTTGTTTTTTGTCGTCTGTTATTTTTAAGCTTTTCGTCTGTTTTTTTGTTGCAGATTCAAAAAGTAATTGATCAATGATTTTTTTATTCATTTCACATTATTGTTTTTGTTCCCTACACGCTGCTTGTTTTAATTGTGTAAATGTTTGAAGAGAGAAGGCTGAACAAACTGCTCAAGTTACTTAGATGTGTGTCAAATCTGGTGCTATCAACTTTTTTTCTCTCCAAAGTGACAAGTATTGCAGGAGAATGAAACATTATTGGAAGTTGTCTTACTGTTTTTAGCACTTGGGTCCCTAGTTAAAATTCTCACAATAATTTTTACAATCTAAATAGATATTTAGAAAGAACACTTAAGACAATAAAATATATTTAACTGTAATAAATTATAATTATATTTAATTATAATAAACTTATACAGGGAAAATGAAAAATATCCGCACAATAAAATTTGACAGAGAAATGTAGTTGTTGGTTATATTTGGGGAATATAATGCTAAATTGCTCCAATGCTACCCAACAACATAAATAAGTCTTTCAATTTGGTTTTAGTGGGTTAAGCTGCTACCCTTTTAACAGACCCAAAGTTGTTCTTAGGAGTTCATATCATCGAGTGTTGAGCTAGTAGTTTAAAGAAGTAAATTAGAGATCCAAAAAGTATGGCCAGTACTGAGATGCTTAGCCGTGTCTTTTTGATTCCAGCTTTCTCTCTGTCTGTTTGTTGATTCCTGTTTTTGTTTGTTTGTTTTGATTCCGAGGGACAATTTTTTCTATAAAAGATTGAGATTTTGTATTCAATTTAATACTTTTAAGATTGATCAATGTTATTTTTGGTAGTGTGCATTGAGTAGGTACTTGTTTCTTTGGACAGTAGATTCAAGTTTTTCTTTTGAAATAGTGTCTGCCATTACTGTCATTTGTGTTTTGGGTTGTGACTACAGAGAATACAGCTACGACCGGAAGTAAATTTTTGTAGCAGGTTAGGAGAACATTTTAGCTAACTCTAACCCTTTTCCTAACCTAAGTCTCCTAGCATGCCATGTTAATTATCCTAACCTGCTTCATAAATTCTCCTAACCTGATATGAAAAAGGCACTTCCGGTTGTAGCTGTACTCCTGCTAGTCAGAACCATGTTTTTATTTTTCAATCACATGGAAAAGGCTTTAAATGTTTGAGAGATTTCCAATCCGTCTGTGTCAACAAGTTTTGACACTTTGGCACTTTCCAAGAGCTTACTGTTCATCAGTCCAAGATAATTAATTATGTGTTATAACTCTTACAAATTATTTCTGAAATGTGTCCCAAGTAGTAGTCAGTCATTCAGTCAGTCAGTGGTTAGGGAATGCAGTGTCTGAAAAGTAATATTACCTCCTACTAGAGCAACGTAGAACCTTGCACAATGTTAATGTGCAAGGTTCTGAGATGTTTTATGAGGTCACAACTCCATGGTTCTCAAGGCTGCTCTCACAGTCACAGCAGGTACTGTGTCCATATCCTCACTCTTCTGTCCTATGTTCAGAAACTAGGCCTACATCCGAGGTCAAACCTCCAGTCCGACTGTTTTGTTTCTCAAAATGGCCAGTGATCTATGCAATTAATTTATTGTCCACAATAATGCAATACTTATATTTCAGGTGACAACAATGGACTGTTTGTCAATAGTGACTTTTGAAACACTCATTTATCATTCTGCTATCGGTGGCTTTCATTTGAGTTTAACTTCATCCAAAACCTCTAGTTGTAAGATTATCAGCCTCATTGTTCATCTAATGACAGTGAGATGGCTGCATAAAAGGGAATGTTTTTGTGTACAACATGGTTAATGAGATTGGAGAAAATCACTAAACTATCTTGCTAAAGGCCTCACACCATCTCCTAACAATGGGATACTGACTACCTTGTCCATCCAGATACAGAGTCCTTATTGTTGTTGGTCAAACAAATATTGGTTGTTGATTTTTTTGTTTGTTACCAAAGACATCATCCGGTAGGCAATGAACATTTCTAAGTGAATAAATTTGTAATTTGTTTTATCTTGTTCCCTTTAGTTGATTTGTTACTGTACATGCCAAGCTTTGTTGCCCCATGAATTAATTTGTGGTAGGAAGTAAGAATATTATCACAGAAATGCCTTCTAGATTTCATCAAGAGGGGATTTAAAAGGTGCTACATACTACATTGCTATCTGGAAACATTCATGCACTGTCTGAAACTGTTTGATAAACAGGAATACTTTTCTTATCAGATTTGTAGTATCAGTCTTAGGAAACCACAATTCAATGTTTGATACACTATCTGTCGTATTTATTTTGAGGCTGTCATTATTCCAGATTGTTGTTTAACTCAAATAAAATGTTCAGCCTTAGTTTGAAATGTCAAAATGCTCTCGCCCTTTTCCATAGTTCAGATATTCATTCAGGTGTGTCAGTCATTCAATGGAAGGCCTAGTAGTGTCTGTTGGTTTTCCCTTTCAATTAAGACCTACAGTGCATTCGGAAAGTATTCAGACCCCTTCACTTTTTCCACATTTTGTTACGTTACAGCCTTATTCTAAAATTGATTAAATTAATTGTTTTCCTCATAAATCTACACACAATACCCCATAATGACAAAGCGAAAACAGGTTTTTTAGGTTTTTTTTATATATATAAAAAGATACCTTATTTACATAAGTATTCAGACCCTTTGCTATGAGACTCGAAATTGAGCTCAGGTGCATCCTGTTTCCATTGATGATCCTTGAGATGTTTCTACAACTTCATTGGAGTCCACCCGTGGTAAATTCAATTGATTGGACATGATTTGGAAAGGCACACACCGGTCTATATAAGGTCCAACAGTTGACAGTGCATGTCAGAGCAAAAACCAAGCCATGAGGTCGAAGGAATTGTCCGTAGAGCTCCGAGACAGGATTGTGTCAAGGCACAGATTTGGGAAAGGGTACAAGGAAAGGTCTGCAGCATTGAAGGTCCCCAAGATCACAGTGGCATCATTCTTAAATGGAGGAAGTTTGGAACCACCAATACTTTTCCTAGAGCTGGCTGCCTGGCCAAACTGAGCAATCGGGGGAGAAAGGCCTTGGTCAGGGATGTGACCAAGAACCCGATGGTCACTCTGACTGAGCTCTAGAGTTCCTCTGTGGAGATGGGAGAACCTTCCAGAAGGACAACCATCTCTGCAGAACTCCACCAATCAGGCCTTTTTGGTAGAGTGGCCAGACTGAAGCCACTCCTCAGTAAAAGGCACATGACAGCCCGCTTGGAGTTTGGCAAAAGACACCTAAAGGACTCTCAGACCATGAGAAACAAGATTCTCTGGTCTGATGAAACAAAGATTGAACTCTTTGGCCTGATCATGTGTTCTCGCATACCCCGAGAGCATCTGGTCAGCGCGGCGGTGGCACAGGAATCCTCATCTCTACCAAGTGGACATTCTCTCTTTTCCCCCTGACCCATCTGTCTATCTCCTCATTTAAATTCCATGCTGTCACAGTCACTAGCCCATTCAAGCTTAACATCCTTATCATTTATCGCCCTCCAGGTTCCCTTGGAGAGTTCATGAATGAACTTGACGCCTTGATAAGTTCCTTTCCTGAGGATGGCTCACCCCTCACAGTTCTGGGTGAGTTTAACCTCCCTACGTCTGCCTTTGACTCATTTCTCTCTGCCTCCTTCTTTCCACTCCTTTCCTCTTTTGACCTCACCCTCTCACCGTCCCCCCCTACTCACAAGGCATGCAATACGCTTGACCTCATCTTTACTAGATGTTGTTCTTCTACTAATCTCACTGCAACTCCCCTCCAAGTCTCCGACCACTACTTTGTATCCTTTTCTCTCTCGCTCTCCTCCAACACTACTCACTCTGCCCCTACTCAGATGGTAATGTGCCGTCGCAACCTTCGCTCTCTCTCTCCCTCTACTCTCTCCTCTTCCATCCTATCATCTCTTCCTTCTGCTAAATCCTTCTCCCTCCGATCTCCTGATTCTGCCTCCTCAACCATCCTCTCCTCCTTTCTGTATATTTTAACTCTCTATGTCCCCTATCCTCCCGGCCGGCTCGGTCCTCCCCTCCTGCTCTGTGGCTTGACGACTCATTGCGAGCTCACAGAACAGGGCTCCGGGCAGCCGAGCGGAAATGGAAGAAAACTAGACTCCCTGCGGACCTGTCATCTTTTCACTCCCTCCTCTCTACATTCTCTTCCTCTGTTTCTGCTGCTAAAGCCACTTTCTACCACTCTAAATGTCAAGCCTCTGCCTCTAACCCTAGGAAGCTCTTTGCCACCTTCTCCTCCCTGCTGAATCCTCCTCCTCCTCCCCCTCCCTCTCTGTGGATGACTTCGTCAACCATTTTGAAAAGAAGGTTGATGACATCCGATCCTCATTTATTAAGTCAAATGACACCGCTGGTCCTGCTCACACTGCCCTACCCTATGCTTTGACTTCTTTCTCCCCTTTCTCTCCAGATGAAATCTTGCGACTTGTGATGGCCGGCCGCCCAACAACCTGCCCGCTTGACCCTATCCCCTCCTCTCTTCTCCAGACCATTTCCGGAGACCTTCTCCCTTACCTCACCTCGCTCATCAACTCATCCTTGACCGCTGGCCATGTCCCTTCCGTCTTCAAGAGAGCGAGAGTTGCACCCCTCCTCAAAAAACCTACACTCGATCCCTCCGATGTCAACAACTACAGACCAGTATCCCTTCTTTCTTTTCTCTCCAAAACTCTTGAGCGTGCCATCTCTAGCCAACTCTCCTGCTATCTCTCTCAGAATGACCTTCTTGAGCCAAACCAGTCAGGTTTCAAGACTGGTCATTCAATTGAGACTGCTCTTCTCTGTGTCACGGAGGCTCTCCGCATTGCTAAAGCGAACTCTCTCTCCTCTGCTCTTATCCTTCTAGACCTATCTGCTGCCTTTGATACTGTGAACCATCAGATCCTCCTCTCCACCCTCTCCGAGTTGGGCATCTCCGGCGCTACTCACTCTTGGATTGCGTCCTACCTGACAGGTCGCTCCTACCAGGTGGCGTGGCAAGAATCTGTCTCCGCACCACGTGCTCTCACCACCGGTGTCCCCCAGGGCTCAGTTCTAGGCCCTCTCCTATTCTCCCTATACACCAAGTCACTTGGCTCTGTCATATCCTCACATGGTCTCTCCTATCATTGCTACGCAGACGACACACATTTAATTTTCTCCTTTCCCCCTTATGATAACCAGGTGGCGAATCGCATCTCTGCATGTCTGGCAGACATATCAGTGTGGATGTCGGATCACTACCTCAAGCTGAACCTCGGCAAGACGGAGCTGCTCTTCCTCCCGGGGAAGGACTGCCCGCTCCATGATCTCGCCATCACGGTTGACAACTCCATTGTGTCCTCCTTCCAGAGTGCAAAGAACCTTGGCGTGACCCTGGACAACACCCTGTCGTTCTCCGCTAACATCAAAGCGGTGACCCGATCCTGCAGGTTCATGCTCTACAACATTCTCAGAGTACGACCCTACCTCACACAGAAAGCGGCACAGGTCCTAATCCAGGCACTTGTAATCTCCCGTCTGGATTACTGCAACTCGCTGTTGGCTGGGCTCCCTGCCTGTGCCATTAAACCCCTACAACTTATCCAGAACGCTGCAGCCCGTCTGGTGTTCAACCTTCCCAAGTTCTCTCATGTCACCCCGCTCCTCCGCACACTCCACTGGCTTCCAGTTGAGGCTCGCATCTACTACAAGACCATGGTGCTTGCCTACGGAGCTGTGAGGGGAACGGCACCTCCTTACCTTCAGGCTCTGATCAGACCCTACACCCAAACGAGGGCACTATGTTCATCCACCTCTGGCCTGCTAGCCCCCCTCCCTCTACGGAAGCACAGTTCCCGCTCAGCCCAGTCAAAGCTATTCGCTGCTCTGGCACCCCAATGGTGGAACAAGCTCCCCCACGATGCCAGGACAGCGGAGTCACTGACCACCTTCCGGAGACACTTGAAACCCTACCTCTTTAAGGAATACCTGGAATAGTATAAAAGTAATCTTTCTACCCTCCCCCATAAAAAAAAAGTGGTTGTCCCACTGGCTATCATAAGTTGAATGCACCAATTTGTAAGTCGCTCTGGATAAGAGCGTCTGCTAAATGACGTAAATGTAAATGAATGCCAAGCGTCACGTCTGGAGGAAACCAGCACCGCTCATCACATGGCCAATACCATCCCTACGGTAAAGCTTGGTGGCAGCATCATGCTGTATGGATGTTTTTCAGCGGCAGGAACTGGGAGACAAATCAGAATCGAGGGAAAGATGAACGGAGCGAAGTACAGAGAAATCATTGAAGAAAACCTGCTCCAGAGCGCTCAGGACCTCAGACTGCGTCCAAGGTTCACCTTCTAACAGGACAATGACCCTATGCACACAGCCAAGACAACGCAGGAGTGGCTTCGGGACAAGTCTCAATGTCCTTGAGTGGCCCAGCCAGAGCCCGGACTTGAACCCGATCGAACATCTCTGGAGAGACCTGAAAATAGCTGTGCAGCGACGCTTCCCATCCAACCTGACAGAGCTTGAGAGGATCTGCAGAGAATGGGAGAAACTCCCCAAATACAGGGGTGCCAAGCTTGTAGCGTCATACCCAAGAAGACTCGAGGCTGTAATCGCTGCCAAAGGTGCTTCAATAAAGTACTGAGTAAAGGGTCTGAATACTTATGTAAATGTGATATTCCAGCAAAAATGTTATACGTTTGCAAAAATGTCTAAAAACCTGTTTTTGCTTTGTCATTATGGGGTATAGTGTGTAGATTAGAAAAAAATTAAAATAATTCCATTTTAGAATAAGGCTGTAAAGTAACAAAAATGTGGAAAAGGTGAAGGGGTCTGAATACTTTCTGAATGCACTGTAGACAACCAGGTGAGGGGAGTTCCTTACTATTCAGTGATCTTAATTCATCAATCATGTAGGGAAGAATGAAAACCGGCAGACACTCGGCCCTCCGTGGAATGAGTTTGACACGTGATTTACCTGAAGAGTCCACTTGAAACATCTTGCTGCCAATTTAGGATTTGAAAGGTTTGCGGAGGAGTGGGTTCTAGTAATTGTCCTACAACATCTAGAGGGGGAAATCATCAGCTGAAGTTCAGTCCAGCAATAAGTCATCCACGTCATGGGTGGTCAGACAGATTGAAAACTGACATTTCATAGATCATTGGCTCACAGACTTAACATCTACTATCCCATGGCTTTAGCAAGGCCATTGTAAAGCAACCATGTACAATGTTATTCACTTTCCTCCATTAATCTGCTTGTGTGCCACACTAGCAGGTCCAATTGTCCCCATTCTAGACAAACACAGCTTTCAAGAGGTTTCTTTGGTTTGATGTTTTTGAACTTGTTTATGTCCATGTGCCTTTGATTACTTAGTGTGTATGCTCATGTACAGTACACCTTTCCAGACAGAGATGCCTCCTGTAGCTCAGTTGGTAGAGCATGGCGCTTGCAACGCCAGGGTTGTGGGTTCGATTCCCACGGGGGGCCAGTATGAAAAATGCATGCACTCACTAACTGTAAGTCGCTCTGGATAAGAGCGTCTGCTAAATGACTAAAATGTAAAATGTAAGATGCACATACATAACACTTGAGGATTTATTTCAAAAAATATTTTGTTCTAGATACAAAACATTCAAAAAAGTTACAAAATGTAGATTAAATACTTTACCTAAGAAACTGTATACTCCTTAGTATGTACAATGTTGAAAATATCATTTTTTTCACTTTGCTTATTTAAACAAAATAGACTTTAAACTTAAGGTAACAATTTAGTCTTGGAACTATTGGTCTCTTGATCAAGGAAGCATCACTGCAGCTGATCTGTTTTGGGGTCCAATTACCAATGAAAAAACTAGTGTCAAGTACAATACAATTGCAACCCATTTACAAATTATACTCTGAGGTAAATAGTACATGTACTGTAATCAGTTGCATATATTTTCAATTTAGCTAAAAACAATGATCAAATGTGGATGTCCAGATATAAATCAAATAATGTCACCATATCTCAATCTCGGTTCTCTGAGTTAACCAGTTTATTGAACCAGGTATGGGTGTTAACACCTTATTTGTATAAAGTCTATGGTTAACAGTCAGCGTCAGATCCGAACACCAATCTTTCTTTGAACTGTACTTTTAAGTAGTTTACAAAAAATCAGTGACAAAATTCTGGTTGGTCCAACTTCACTAGACAGAAGTTCTGATGAGAGTATAATTTGTAAATGAAAACAACGCCAACTCAAACTTTGCTGGGTGATACACAAAATGCACCTTGGACTTCCCAAATTGTGACAGTGGACCACAACATAAAACACTGAGATGGGGGAACTTATGCAGAGGCAGTGCTTTGCTTTTCTATTCCATTCCTCCTTTCAAGCTCAAGACCAAATAAGCAAAACCCTTAGAGATGACAGTGTCAGATCCTCCACTGGATTGGACGTGTGTATGGGGGGGACCTCAGAGCTCCACCTGATAAAGGTCATAGGTCCCTGTTCTGAGTCTCTTTCCCATCCAGGAGCGGACCAGCTGAATCCTCCTGCAGTTTAACAGCCACAGCGTCTTGGGCACCATCATCATTTCAGACACCTCCCCTTGACCAAACTGTAGCTATCAGTTCAAAAATATCCCCAATTTCATCACAACAGTTTACGATTCAATATCTCCCAGACCATCCGTCTCCTGAAGTAGGGCATGTGTTTCTGTAAATTGGAGGGAGGGGAAATATTGAGTTAGTTACTCAAATCAAATTTTATTGGTCACATACACATATTTAGCAGATGTTACTGCGGGTGTAGCAAGCGAAATGCTTGTGTTCCTAGCTCCAACAGTGCAGTAGTCTCTAACAATTCACAACAATACACACAAATCTAAAAGTAAAATAATGGAATTAAGAAATATATAAATATTAGCTCGAGCAATGTCGGAGAGGCATTGACTAAAATACAGTAGAATACAGTATATACATATGAGATGAGTAAAGCAGTATGTAAACATTATTAAAGTGACTAGTGTTCCATTATTAATGTGACCAGTGATTCCATGTCTATGTACATAGGGCAGCAGCCTCTAAGGTGCAGGGTTGCGTAACCGAGTGGTAGCCGGCTAGCGATGGCTATTTAACAGTCTGATGGCCTTGAGATAGAAGTCAAGTCATTGGATTGTAGGACATTTCCTGTACTGGCAGGACTGCTCATGCTTACCATAACACTTCCATTAAACCCAGAGTCTCCAACAAGGGCCGGTTTCATATAGTGGCTGGCCATCACTTCACATTTGAGCAAATAAAACGGCAGTCTCTTACAAGTGCCGGGTCAAAAAATGATGCGTGCCACTTAAGGCCAGTCTGCTCCAGTAGAATTTCACAGCATCTCTTTTCTCGCGCTAAATTATTGATCCCTGCATGTCAAAACGCAAGTCTGTCCATGTAACCAGTGAGAAATACTAATCAATTCATCCCTTTTGCAACATATGCAGTGCAAACTATATGCAACCAGTGTTACAAATATCATAGAACTTATTAAATGACAGAAGCAGAGCGAGGAAACTGAATCATAATAATAATAATAATAATAATAATAATAATAAGCCATTTAGCAGACGCTTTTATCCAAAGCGACTTACAGTCATGCGTGCATACATTTTTGTGTATGGGTGGTCCCGGGGATCGAACCCACTACCTTGGCGTTACAAGCGCCGTGCTCTACCAGTTGAGCTACAGAGGACCACGCTCCACGCTTGTGTTCCTAGCGTGAATCATAACAGGTTGAGCTGGGCTTTGCACCCCTCTGACTGGATTAAACACTGGCCTCCAATACGAGCCTGTCTCCAACAGACACAGGGGCAGCTTGGCGCTTGAATCAAATACATGTGCGGGATATTAATTGAAGTTTGACAGTACTTACTTGTGTGAATGTGATTGGCTTGTCTTTGGTGATGTACTCCGCATATTTACATGTGAACATTCCACAGTCACTTCCGTTCATCTGCTGAGGAATCTCCTGGTGGGAGAAACATTGAGATAAATGTTTAAAAAGATGGCAACATCAATAAGTGATGTGTTAATGAATGTTGAGTTGACCGATCTCTGTTAGTTATGTAACACTCACGTTGCGTGTCTTGCTCTGCAGAGTCCATTCTGCGGTATCCAGCTCTTTGCCCTTCTTGTCCTTGCTTTCCTGCTGCAGGTATTGCAGCAATATCCTGCAGGCTTCGTCATTGATTCCTCCCATTGAATCAAAGTATGTGACACTCTTCTTACGGAGATCCACCACCTGAGAGGAGAAGGATGTTAATATAAACATCCCACTTCAGATAGTGTGATTCACACTACAGGGCCGCCCTGAACCGCACAGTGCTGGCTCGGATATTTCGCTTTCACACTGTCCTTTCCAGCAAGGTTCCAGGGCAGCCCAGTACAGCTCGGCTCTTTAGTGGGAATCAGGCATTGCTGACTGGAGGAGAGTTGCAGTATAATAGTTAGTTATAGCTATAGGGCTGCTGTACAGTATTCAGAGAGGCACCAGTGCACGTGCACCAGCAAGGTGTTAGTATAGTACTCACAGAGAGGCACCAGTGTACCCCCAGGTGGACGGGCACCAGCAGGGTGTTAGTATAGTACTCACAGAGGGACACCAGTGCACCCCCAGATGGACAGGCACCAGCAGGGTGTTAGTATAGTACTCACAGAGAGGCACCAGTGTACCCCCAGATGGACGGGCACCAGCAGGGTGTTAGTATAGTACTCACAGAGAGGCACCAGTGTACCCTCAGGTGGACAGGCACCAGCAGGGTGTTAGTATAGTATAGTACAGTACTCACAGAGAGGCACCAGTGTACCCTCAGGTGGACGGGCACCAGCAGGGTGTTAGTATAGTGTAGTACTCACAGAGGGACACCAGTGCACCCCCAGATGGACAGGCACCAGCAGGGTGTTAGTATAGTACTCACAGAGAGGCACCAGTGTACACCCAGGTGGACGGGCACCAGCAGTGTGTTAGTATAGTACTCACAGAGAGGCACCAGTGCACCCCAAGATGGACGGGCACCAGCAGGGTGTTAGTATAGTACTCACAGAGAGGCACCAGTGTACCCCCAGGTGGACGGGCACCAGTATGACATCCATTGAGAAGATGTCCATCTTTTTGGTCCAGCGGCGTACGGCAGAGTAGCCTGCGCTGCGTAGCTTTGGGAAGAAGAAGGTGTTGAAGGTGTGGACCGTCGGCAGGCTGGGATCCTTACTGCGCTCCACCAGCAGGTTCATGTAGAAGTTGATCACCTGCAGAGTAAAAGGAGAGAAGCAATGAATGAAGAAAATACAACATAGGTAGACCACTACTGTATCCACCTGTCCAGTACACTACTGTATCCACCTGTCCAGTACACTACTGTATCCACCTGTCCAGTACACTACTGTATACACCTGTCCAGTACACTACTGTATCCACCTGTCCAGTACACTACTGTATCCACCTGTCCAGTACACTACTGTATCCACCTGTCCAGTACACTACTGTATACACCTGTCCAGTACACTACTGTATACACCTGTCCAGTACACTACTGTAAATATCCTGTCCAGTACACTACTGTATCCACCTGTCCAGTACACTACTACATACACCCTGTCCAGTACACTACGGTAAATACCCTGTCCAGTACACTACGGTAAATACCCTGTCCAGTACACTACGGTAAATACCCTGTCCAGTACACTACGGTAAATACCCTGTCCAGTACACTACGGTAAATACCCTGTCCAGTACACTACGGTAAATATAATGTCTAGTACACTACTGCAGTGGTTCTCAAGTGGTTTTGCCTCAGAACCCAAATTGAACCAAGTTCTCTCAGTCACGACCCAATACTCGCATCACTCGCATGGGGCGGCAGGTAGCTTAGTGGTTAAGAGCGTTGTGCCAGTAACCGAAAGGTCGCTGGTTCTAATCCCCGAGCCGACTAGGTGAAAAATCTGTCGATGTGCCCTTGAGCAAGGCACTTAACCCTAATTCCTCCTGTAAGTCGCTCTGGATAAGAGCGTCTGCTAAATGACTAAAAATGTTTGTTTTTTTTATCACAAAAAATAATCGCCGAAATAGAATCTGGAAAATAATTTTTACTGTTATATTTACATTTACATTACATTTACGTCATTTAGCAGACGCTCTTATCCAGAGCGACTTACAAATTGGTGCATTCACCTTATGATAGCCAGTGGGACAAAATGTTTTTTAGAGTATATTTTTCAAATAAAAATTTTTAGAGTATATTTTTAATTTGTTTTATTTATTTATATATTTATATATATATATATATATATATATATATATATATATATATATATATATATATATATATATATGTTATTTTATTTATTATTATTATTATTTTGTGGGGGTGGGGTAGAAGGATTACTTTTATACTATCCCAGGTATTCCTTAAAGAGGTAGGGTTTCAAGTGTCTGTGTCTGGAGTCAGTGACTCCGCTGTCCTGGCGTCGTGAGGGAGCTTGTTCCACCATTGGGCTGCCAGAGCAGCGAACAGTTTTGACTGGGCTGAGCGGGAACTGTGCTTCCGCAGAGGTAGGGGGACCAGCAGGCCAGAGGTGGAAGAACGCAATGCCCTCGTTTGGGTGTAGGGACTGATCAGAGCCTGAAGGTACGGAGGTGCCGTTCCCCTCACAGCTCCGTAGGCAAGCACCATGGTCTTGTAGCAGATGCGAGCTTCAACTGGAAGCCAGTGGAGTGTGCGGAGGAGCGGGGTGACGTGAGAGAACTTGGGAAGGTTGAACACCAGACGGGCTGCAGCGTTCTGGATGAGTTGTAGGGGTTTAATGGCACAGGCAGGGAGCCCAGCCAACAGCGAGTTGCAGTAATCCAGACGGGAGATGACAAGTGCCTGGATTAGGACCTGTGCCGCTTCCTGATAGTAAATGTAAGAATTATATGACAAGGGAACAACATTCCCACCTCTTTCATTGTCAATAATACAATTTTGCCCATATTATTGATGAAGTATGTTAATAAACTCACTGGCTTGAGACCACGAAATCAACCAACATAGTGCTGCTAATATCTCTATATTGAAAAAATTTAAGTCGTTTTCATGGCTTTTTTTTTTTACGCAGACACTTGCACCCCACTCAAATTTGGGTCGCGACCCACCAGTTAAGAATCGCTGCTCTACTGTACACACCTGTCCAGTACACTACACACACACACCTGTCCAGTACACTATACCCACACACACCTGTCCAGTACACTATACACACACACACACCTGTCCAGTACACTATACACACACACACCTGTCCAGTACACTATACACACACACACCTGTCCAGTACACTATACACACACACACCTGTCCAGTACACTATACACACACACACCTGTCCAGTACACTATACACACACACACCTGTCCAGTACACTATACACACACACACCTGTCCAGTACACTATACACACACACACCTGTCCAGTACACTATACACACACACACACACACCTGTCCAGTACACTATACACACACACACCTGTCCAGTACACTCAGTTGTCACTCAAACCCACACTAAATAAAAGCTACTCAAATTACGGACAGAAAAATGACCAAGCAGCATGACAAACAGAAGCAGTGTGTGATGTGCTCTCACCTCATCGTTGAGCCAGTTGAGGTGGCTGAGTGTCTGGAGGTCTTTGCGTGTGATGGTGAGTCTGAAGCCTTCACTTAGCACCTCGTCCTGGCTGCCTCCCCTCAGCGCCCGGCCCACCTCCCCCTCCATATCCTGGGTGGCAGACACACAAACAAGCTGGCTCAGCTAAAGGCTAATAGGCATATATCACTCCTCACCTCTCCACCTGACAGCTGATGTGTGGTGAGTGTTCTGGCACAAAAATGGTTGCCGTGCATCACCTAGGTGGGTGCCACACATTGGTGGTGGATGAGGTGAGTTTCCCCCTACTATGTAAAGCGCTTTGAGTACCTCGGTAGAAAAGCGCTATATAAATCCAATCAATTATTATTATCATTATTATGTACATTCCTGATGCGCACTGTGATCAAACCAACTTGATTTATTTAAACTGCATTTAAAACACCTCAATGCACTGAACAATAAAATAACAATAATGCATGTTATTGGTAATGCCCTCTCACACAAACTCAAAGTGCTAAAATAGGCACAATACACAAAACTAAAAGACAGTGAATGTACCTCGGTGAGCTCGGGGAACTCTGGTTTCTCCTCTGTGGGTTTGGGTTCCTCTATGAAGGGAGCCAGAGGAACCTCCTTCTCCAGAGGGACTCTAACATGCAGCTCCACGGCCCCGTGGCCCAGCTGGCTGTCATCTGATATACGCTGGAACCACCAGACCACAGCAGAAGAGGGTTAGGGTTAGAGCTACCACCACAGAGTTGAATGTTTATTTCAGAGTGGTGAAAGAGCATCTCATCTCATATTCTTATGCAACGATGAATAAAAGCCTAGAGGGAGAACTTATCATTTCTATTGGCTGAGGTAAGTGTGGGACTATGTATAGACATGATGGTTGACATCACACCAATGAGGAGGACAGAGAAAGTACCTGTCGCAGCAGCTGAGCAGCTAGGGCCTCCTGCTCCTCTATCTGCCTCCGTCTCTCCCGGGCACGGGAGTCGTACATGCTAGTCCTGGGAAACACAGACACACAAATTGACTTGAGGAAAGGACTTCTGTAATGAGCTAGAAGAGGGTTTCATTTTTATTTCTGCGGAGCATCTAGTATGCACTGGCGCACTGCGATATACAGCAAAATACACCATGAATTTATCAAGAAATAGTAACGAAAGCGGTACCAATCATGAGTGTAAGGAATCAGGGGACTTACAATTCTTTGATCCAGAGTTCAGCTTGGAAGCATGGTACACTGTAGAGATAGAGAGATATATTAACCAGGTTAGGTGGGGACAACAAAGCACATAACAAACATCCACAACTGAACAAAAACACTTACCTTGAACTGTCTGGCTTTTTGCCCTTCTGTTCTTTCACAATGATTACGGAGTCCCCATCATAAGCTGTTCAGAACAAGACAAGAGGTGACCACAAATCCATGATGGTGAAGACAGACAGACAGACAGGCTTTAATGTAAACATCATGCATAACTACACTAATTGGTACTACAGCATCCAACCATCAATTCAATAAACGTTATTCATTCCCTACGAGCAATTAAAAGGGATGATTGAATTTATTTATTTTATTTAACCTTTATTTAACCAGGTAAGCCAGTTGAGAACAAGTTCTCATTTACAACTGCGACCTGGCCAAGATAAAGCAAAGCAGTGCGATAAAAACAACAACACAGAGTTACATATGGGGTAAAACAAAACATAAAGTCAAAAATACAACAGAAAATATATATATACAGTGTGTGCAAATGTAGCAAGTTATGGAGGTAAGGCAATAAATAAGCCATAGTGCAAAATAATTACAATTAGTATTAACACTGGAATGATATATGTGCAAGAGATGATGTGCAAATAGAGATACTGGGGTGCAAATGAGCAAAATAAATAACAATATAGGGATGAGGTAGTTGGGTGGGCTAATTTCAGATGGGCTGTCTACAGGTGCAGTGATCGGTAAGCTGCTCTGACAACTGATGCTTAAAGTTAGTGAGGGAGATAAGAGTCTCTTTAGCTTCAGAGATTTTTGCAGTTCGTTCCAGTCATTGGCAGCAGAGAACTGGAAGGAATGGCGTCCAAAGGAGGTGTTGGCTTTCATAGCGGAGAAGGTACGGTGTGATTCGAAATGGTCGGTGATCTGTTTGTTAACTTGGCTTTCAAAAACTTTCGAAAGGCAGGGCAGGATGGATATAGGTCTGTAACAGTTTGAATCTAGTGTCACCCCCTTTGAAGAGGGGGATGACAGCGGCAGCTTTCCAATCTCTAGGGATCTCAGACGTTACGAAAGAGAGATTGAACAGGCTAGTAATAGGGGTTGCAACAATTTCGGCAGCTATTTTTAGAAATAATTACCTTGGATGAATTGAATAATGATGTCTCAATCATTACCTGATGATTGTGAGTCCTGAGAAGAGGTGTCCTGTAGGGTAACTGGGGAGGGGGCAGACTGTAGTGGCTCTGGTCCCCTGGGGGTGAGGTCTGAGTCAGAGGCCCATGGCTGGTTCCCTGCCCCACTGGTGGAGCCCTCTCCTGGGCTGGGGACGTTGCTGTACCCCTGGCTGGGGGGTCCACTGGGGCCCTGTGAGGCATCTCCTGACCCGGCAGGGGACGAACATTGGAGCAGACGTCTGCTGGTACTCAGGAAGCTGGTGCTGAGAGTGAGTGAGTGAGTGAGTGAGTGAGAGAGAGAGAGAGGGACATGTCAGAACTAAGGGAAAGGGGAGCACCAGTACACACAAATGTAGGACTACAAACCCCAGGGAGAAGTAGAAAACGTACATTTCCTGATGAAAACGTGTGTGCTTGCATCAACTTGCCAGTACAGGTCATTGAGCATGACTGAATTGTCTGTGTAGAGGAGAGTGAGAGGACTGTCGTGTTGGCTTTGTGGTTGTTGTACTCACAAGTCTCTGTGTGAGTGCGGAAAGCCATGGGAGCTGCCGTTGAGACACGAGGACTGTCCACCTGAGACCATGGCCAGTAGCTGTCTGTACACCTCCTTCTCCTCCTCACGGACAGACTGGAGACACACAGAGAGGATCCAACACTATATTATAAATTAGGCTTTGATATGGAAAAGATTGGGGGAAAAAGTTATTCTATTGTATCTATCCAGGTATATATTGACTTACAATGCAGAAGAATAGTTATATAACAAAGTTCATCCAAAACAGCCCAATAGCAAAAGTTCAGCAAACAGTGCAGCAAGTGGGATCCATAAAAATTCTGGTCAGGGGTATCTGACCTCTTGTGCAGTGCAGCGAGCCCAGGCTCTGAGGAGGCGGTTGGAAGAGCTGCCGTGTGAAGGACTCTGCACCATGCGGATAGGGAAGGTCTTCTCATACATGCTGGTGATGGAGCTGCTTCCTGTCCCTAACCCTGCTGAGGTAAACCGTCTGCAGACAGAGAGAGAGAGAGAGAGAGAGAGAATGAAATTATTGTGAATGGAGCACTATCATGCACAGAAAATAGAGCATTTTTAAGCACTCCTTTTGAAAATCAAGCACTTTCACAACCTTGAAATGGTCCTGTTCAAAATCAATCTTATTCGAGGTTTTCAAGCACCCGTACAATACTTGATTAATTAATAGCAGAATTACATTTTTCATCAGTGAGAAAGGTAGGCCTATATCTATTGACAATATGAGCATACCTATTTGATGCAGGTGTTCTGAGGTGGGTCCTTCCCAGGTGGGGAGAGGGACATGGCTTAGGGGTGCTACTGACAGAGTGCCCATTTGTTTTGGGTGCTTCACGATGTGTAAGAGCCATGCAAACTTGCCGTCTGCAGACCTTCGATCCCATCATCGACTTCTCAATTCTAAAGGACTCTGCAGTGAAGAAAGGAGGAAAAAGAGTGTGTCAAACAACTGTTCCATTTCCATAGCAACATTACTAAAATGTCCAGCTGTCAGAAGGAATGTTTTCATAGACATTCTTAGAATAGCCTTGCCTGATTTAGAGCTTTTCCATTCAAGAGTTGTTGATGGAGCAACGAACATCCCATCCAGAGGAGCAGAGTTCCTCACCTCAAGTACCTGAAAACAATACCATAAAAACACAGGATATTATTGTTCAATATGAATATAACAGAGTGCTGGCCTGCAGTAAACTGGAGTAATGAATGCGTATAAATCTACTACAAGTTATGGGCCAATATTGAAAAAGTGTCTTAAGAGTAGGAGTGCTGATCTAGGATCAGGTCCCCCCTCGTATTCATTATGATTTAAAAGTCAAAGCCGATGCAAATTATGGGCCCTGAAACATAAAGAGATCCAATACCTCAGTTTCTTCCCAGACAGTTAAGGGAGGGGGTGCAAAGGTTGAGGGCTCCAGGTGGGGCTCTTCTGGAGGCTCTTCCCCTGTGTGTTCTTCTAGAGGAGGGCCAGGGGAAGCAGGCAGTATGTTCCTCAAGGTAGGGGTCACACTGTTCCGTACCCACGAAGCCACATTGGAGCTATGGCTCTTCACCCCTTCAGCCGCAGTCTTTACTGTGTCAACGAGATCCCCTGTAATATCGACATAAATGCAGTCTAAGTCAGAGAGCCATGGTTTGTTTATAGATCACAGTATACACTGTGCCAGGAACATGTTAGACAACACAAGATATAGGCCTATGACTGCATGGCCAAGGTTGCAGCAAAGCTTACCCATCCGGAATTTCTTCACTGCTAGGGCTTGCTCATCTTGGTCAAGTGCCTCTCCGTCCTCCAAACTTTGACAAAAAGGGGAAAACATCCAAAATGAGAATAAGCCAGAGTCCCCGTCAGTGATAGCGGGTATTGTCATTACAACTCTTATAACTAGTTAACTACATTCACTTTAGACAGCGACCGGTTATAATCCACTCCAGCCATAGCGGTTGTTGAGTAAGCAAGTTTGATTGCTCTACAACCCACTTCCACATGTCAGACAATGTGTGACATACCTGCTAGCATCTCACCACAATGTCAAATGAACGAGACCGCAAATTTACAACTCACATATAGCTAACAGCCAGCTAGATAGGTCATCAAACAAACTGACTGGTCATCCCGTGTCACCACCAACAGATAAACTAAGCTAAATTGCTAACTAACTTACTACACAACAAATATAATTACAGATAGTTAACTAGCTAATATCAACTTACCAGTCGATAGGTCGTTTTCTCCTGATCCGACGCCCTTGTTGTATTCCGTGTGTGTCGACGTTATCCTGTTGATCGGGAGCTGGCACTCCATTGCGGAGATTAGCGAAGCCCGTTCCAATCCATTCGTAAAATGTATTGAACATGTTTAGCTAGAGAAGTTTAAAACCTCCCTCCCGCGAAAAAATTTATCGCTATGGTTGCTTCCAACCCGCCTGCCAGCGCAGCCAAAAGCACATAAAGCCACCCAACGTCATTCGGCCGGGGCAAGTAAATCGTAGTTAGTTAGCTACCTAACCAACACTACTAACCAGCTAGCTACCTAGATTTTAGGTTACCTTCCCCTTCCTTCCCTTGAAATTAGCTAGCTATTTAGCTCGCGCAGCTAACAAACTTGCTAGCTAGTTAGCGGTTAGCTAAACTAGCTAGCTAACAAGCTGGTTGTATGTGGCTTTAGCTACTAGGATTTGAATCCGCACTTGACTGAGTTTAATCACTACTACCACATTCTAGAATGCAATTGCTGTTTCTTAAATAGCCAAGGAGCAAAAGTACCTCAATATAGCACTTTAAATAAAAAAATACGGTGTATAAACTCGCTAAACAATAACCTCTCCCGCTTCTTCCTCATTCAAAACCACAACATGGCTGAGCTCGAAGTTTTACCATGAAACGTTTTCATTGGATGAGCAACTCGAGTAGACGCAAGTATTCTGAAACGTGAATGGCTGGTTGGAGTGCTTTTTTTCTGGCGCTTTTTTGATGCTGTTCACAGATTTCGACACGCATATTATATTCTACACGGATATATTCTGTTCTATTCTATTTAGTGTCTGAGATACAAAAAAAAAACTTGAAGATCCGGTGAGCCAATTGTTTTTATTATTTTGTTTAGAGGTAAATGCAATAAACATTCACATTCCTGTTCTAATAAATAAATACATATGTATTATGTACAGCAAGAATTGTAAATATAAATGAATTTCCTAACACATTCAAATGGAATAACACTCAATGCACTTAGTCAAGAGGCGCATATTTACACCAGCAAATTAATTACAATTTGTTCAGATAAGACTATTCCAAGGCCACAAATGTCATACACATTCAGGGTGTTATTTAAGAAAATATATGTTTCATATTTTTCAGGTCGAGTACAATGTACTATTATTTTGTCATGTACACATCAGGCATGTTGCAAGCATGATTAACTATTTTTAGTGACAATATTCAAAACTATTCACTTTTACAACAATTAACATTTTTTGATTTTACAAAATATAACAACTCTTTCGGTCTCTATAAAAACAGTAATAACCACAAAGTTAAGTCATCAACTTATAACATCTGGAGCAAATACATACATTTACCACATCCCTACATTTTAAAAAGTTGTCCAGATTGACCCCCAAAACATGCTCAGCAAAGAATGGGTATGAAGTCATTGGTTTAGCCCATCTGTAAATAAATGAGAACTTCAGAGTTAAATAGCATCCAACCAGGGTCGAGTGGGGAAACCCCTACTGACATCATTGGACTATGGCTCATCATATAGACAAGATTGCATTACATCTCCAGTTTAAGTGCAACTTGATTCAAAACAGCCATGGAAAGCCAAGCAATTAGCCTACATTCAAATGTACTCCGAATTGGATTGAATTGCCTGCATGCTCTGGATTTTATGTTCGTTTGAGATTTCAACCAGTAGGCTAAGAGCTGACAGAACGGAGGATAGGCATTAGAGAAACAACAAACCACAGACATACTGTGCACAGGTGCCTTTGATAGAGGTCTAAAGCTGAGGGTAATCAAAGGGTGCTTTTACATTGTACAGATGTAGATCTTAATTTGAGCCAGTTTGCTGCAGCAGGAAAATAATCATGCAGCAACAGAAAATGTGAATTATTATGTGGATTATAATTAATGGACAATTCTGTAGGGGTTGATCTATTTTCGTGAGGGAAAATCAAATTTCAAACTTCTGAAGACTTTTTAAACCTCAAACACACCACAAGTGTTACATTTCCTACATTGCAGAAAAGTTATCCTGCAACAGGGTGATCAAATTAAGATCCTACATCTGTACACTAATGTAATCGGATGTAGCCTAGTGTACTACTGATAAACGAACAACAAAGGTGAAAACTACATGATGTCTATGTTTGATCTACATCTGTACCATGCATAATTATAATTTTTTTTGCTATTCATAGTGTATGTCAATTCTCAAATTCTTTGTCGATATATTCTGTCTGTATTAAGTTTATCGTCTATATTTGTAAGGGATAATGAACGAGGGGTTATGCGTTCTATGGAAAATTATGATCGACGTGACCTTCCACGGAGTTGCATTATTTTTCAGAGAACGCAGAGTCCAGAATTGATTATTCCTTTTATACCATGGCTATAATTTAACACATTTGCCACTAGAAATGTGTTCATTTGCCGGTAGAAATGTGTTCAATGTACATAGAAGTAGAAAGAAAATGTACTAGCAGCTACAGTAACCCTGACAATAGTTGCCGTGGTAACCAAAACAATCATTAGTCCTAGCTTGCTATTATGAAAATCGAATTCAACAATAGCAATACTGTTGCATTTTGACTTTTGCTTTCAAAAGCAGCTCAAACAAAACATGTAACAATTAAATATAGTCATTGAATTCTACCATGCAAATATACTGTGCATTATAGGGAAATAATGCACTTTCTAGAATGCCCTTCAAGCCATTTCACTGAATCAAATTCCGGGTATATTTTAATGTAGTTGGCAAATAAAGGTGATTCTGATATTCATGTGTTCAGGAGTGACGAGGTGATCTCCTGTAGAGCACTGTCATAGATGACTGTTGTTGTTAAAAGATAGGAGAACACAAGGACATCACATCTGCATAAGACACAAACACCTACAGTTATAGATTTTAGACTCAGTATTTTGCATGTTTTCTTCCACATCTGTCTACTGTGAGCAATGTAAATCTATAGATCTGTGACCCTATGGGTGAAAACTGCTGTACATTAGTGCTGAGATCGACAGCTTAACAGACAAGCTAAAAACCCAATACTGGTACAGTAGTATAGGTCCACATCATGCTAGAGAGGGCAGAGACTGTGGGAGGAGGTGGTGGATCAAGGATCAATGGGTTGTGTACGGTACATCATGATGGTGAGATCAGAGCCTGTATTCATAGCTGATAGTGCTGATCTAGGATCAGATCCCCCCTGTATATAATACTATTTACTATGATCTAAATGGCAAATCCTAGATCAGCAATACTACTTTGAGGCTGCGTTTACACAGGCAGCCCAATTCTGATATTTTTTTCCACTAATTGGTATTTTGTCCACATCAGATCTTTTCACATCAGATATTTTTCAGAGCTGATATGATTGGTCAAAATACCAATTAGTGAAAAAATTATCAGAATTTGGCTACATGTGTAAATGCAGTTTGAGACTATGAATACGGGTCCTGTTTAGATGGTGAGCTGAGATGGTGGCCTGGAGTTGGATTCAGTTTGTCCTCTCTGTTCCAAACAGTGAGAGGAAGAAGGAGAAGATGTAGATGATATCTAGGTAGATGTTGAGAGTGGCAAAGACGTATTCCTCTGGACTTATTGTGTAGCGCTTGTTCCCCATCAGTAGCTGGGTGTCAAACGCCAAAAACTAAACAGAGAAGAAAACAATTGAAGTGTTAGTACATCTCTCTTTGATATTTGTCATTGATAGACTGTGTAGTTAATCAGACTATATAGGTTTTACACTTACCATGGTAAACAGCAATGCTCCCAAGGCACCATAGACGCCATGCACCCAGGGCACCTGCAGCACATGAAATGTGATATTATATCTGTGAAACATCATATCCAACACATTCAATTAGATCTGACCCAGCTGTAGGCTTGGTAGAGACCTCTGTCTAGTTCCTCATGTTAGTATCCAGCTGCATTAACTTATTCATCTAATTAATTATATAGGTTCTGATTAGGGTAGTTTAACTTCCTACTATGTATAGCAGTTTAATTAGCAGTCTTCCTGTATGACAATGTGCTCTACAAATAAAGTGTATTATTATTATTATCTTACATATCCGTAGGGCAGGGCGATGGCCAAGACCAGTCCAGACACCATCATGACCATGCAGAAGGTAAACAATACGCCTTGGCATGATGTCACGTCAAACTGAATAGGACAGAAGGGAAGATAGAAGAGAAAAGAGAAGTTCACTTGATCACAAGTTAAAAAGAACAACTTAGAACAAATTGTGATTCATAGAAGCTCTCTTTTAAATTGTAGAAGTTCCTTTTTCGCTGGAGGAAAGTTCTGGCAGACTGACCTTAGTTTGGAAGCTGACGAGAGTGACGGTTAGACAGACCATAGCAGTAATACCCAGACACATCACCACTGACTTGGTGTTGTAATAACTATTAAAGGGGAAATATATGGTAGAGAAATGATTTGACAAGTATTTAGTTACTAAGAAATGACATACTAAAATGGTTATCATACAGTAGTAACATATTAATGACTTATTTAGGTAAATACACAGTAACAAAGCAAGGTTAAAATCTACAACTGTGCAACAGTGTTAGTAAGACCATGTATACCTTTGGCATAACTGATTGACACTGACACAGTTTAATGCAGGGTTGCCCAACCCTCTTCCTGGTGATCTACCATCCTTTCAGTCCAACCCTAATTTAGCATATCTGATTAGCTCACCAAGACCTTAACTAGCTGAATTTAATATTACATTAGCACTTTACCTGGCTGCAAAAAACATCATGCTAGCCATATCAGTCTGAAGAAGCAGGCAAGCATAGCGGACGAGACAGTGAGAAGTAAGACAACAGAGGAAAACCAACTGTAGACAGCTATGAAAGACTGTACCTGGATAGCATCCCTGTCATATAGGAGAGAGAGAGGGTCTGTAACAGGAGAGATTACAAAGTAAAGAGACATTACTGAGAAAGCCTATTGTAGGTTACACTCAAAGGAAAAGTATGTGATTCTGAATTATGTGAAGTATTGTCTTTAGACAATGTGTATAAATGCTATGGTATCGATTGTTTCAAACACTACATGATACTTACAAAGACGGCGAGCAGGATCAGATTCCATGGAAACTGTCTCCTATTGGAAATACAAATCATAGTAAGTACTGTCGTTACGTTCTGCTAAAATTATACATTCTCTATTATCATAATAACTAAAGTTGTGTTAACCACACACATTAAAGTATTAAACCCACCTTGGTCCAGGACAGCAGACGAGTGTAATGTATGTGACAAAGAACACAGCACTGTGTAAAGAAAAAAAACATATGTTTTAGTACTTTCAGAGTGAAATCAACATAGTAATGACGTATGCAAGATCAAAGCTGTGACTTACTAAGAAGCCCAGTACCATCCAGGGTTGGACTGAATGTAGTTCTTCACTGGTTCACTGATGAAGGAAGCACAAAGAATTGTAAATATGCCATGTTTGCCCATTTCCCTCAAAGTACTTGGTATATATGTTTTCTGCCTTTTATGGTAAACGTTCCATATGAGTCATCTCATAACTTGCAGCTTCTTATCTAGTGCCTGTGAATGTGTCATGTCTGGTTCACAGAGTGATAGAGCATTACTGTATCAAAGTGTGGGACTTCTGACCAGGCCTGACCAGATGAAACTATTGAAGGGTGAAAAGTAGCATCCATATTCAGAGGTATTAGAACACTTACCAGAACGTGAATAAAGCCACTATGGAAAGAGTGACAAGAAGTTGGATCATCAAGATGGAGTAAACCTAAAAGGAGGTACCGAAAAAACACAACTGTGGTAAAATCTGAAGGATGGGTCTGGAGAAATGTAACCACTATGACATTCATAGACAGAGCTATGGATGCAAGGACTGACCATCCAAAATATCAAACTGATAGTTTTAAGCATATTTTGAGGTTATAGTGTTTGTTTACATTTACAACCCTTACAAACGTTCGAGTAAAACAAGCTTATATTTTGGGTTCTGATGGGGTACAACAATTAAACTAAGCTCATGAGGCATTTGTAAGTTATATTCTTTATTTTAATTTTTTATCAATAGGTATCTATCAAGTCCAAAAATGGATGTAGCAAGCACATATTGCCCCTTTAACATAGGGTAGTACTAATATAGTAATAATGTGGTAATAAGGTAGTAATCAATTATGTGTATAAACCCTGGATGACTGACAGGGGGCGCTGTATTGAAGCCACCGTGCAGCCATCTTGGCACTATTTTGGAAGCTATAGAAATGCATTTATTAATGTCTACATTCGTTGTTGACACATTTATTCTATTACAGACACCTTAATGCATACTTTTAAATTATATTATGTGAGCTAAACATTAAAAATATATATATTTTTACAAAAATCATTAAAAAAAAATTTTTTTAGAGCCTACTGATGTTACTGTCCCCACTACAACAAAACATACTTAAATACATGTAATTTTGTCCTTGAAACATTTGATTGAAATACTGTAGAATTCCATTCATTCCTATGGAGGACTGCTCCTACTAGGGAGTTCCAATATGGCCGACCAGTGGCTTCAAATCCTCTCAATGGCCAATACATTGCAAAATCAATCTAGGGTTTCTATACGTCATTGGTAGTGGTGTGGTAGCGATAGCTTAAGTTATAGCCTACCTTGCGGATAAAGATTCGCCGGATGTTTTTATCACTCCAGCTGAATTCTGTGAGCATCTCCCCGTCACTAGGATAAGCCCCGCTGAGCCCTGCTGACAAGTTCCACACACACAAACACACACCACACACACACACAGTAAATGGCCAGTTATTTTTCACACTTTTATTGATAAAGAGAGAGGGGTTATGGCAGTTGTTTTTCCGACACTGACATACCTTTCTCACCTGCGCCAGTGGCCTCTTCATAGCTGGGAGGGGCCGGTGGCCCTCCTGCTTCTCCACTTGAAGTGCCATACTGCTTCTCTCCTGCTTCAGCAGCCTTGTTCGCGACTGAAAGCTGGGGGTACATAACATAAGATCCCCAATCAGGACGAAATAGCTGTTTGGAAATACCTTTTCATAATTGACAGAGAATTCTTATGAGCCAATTTAACCAACTGAGTGATACTTGATCCGAAATTAGCCCCAACTTGTGAATCCAAATTCATTGCATTTGCTTTGAAAATGTAACATTTTTAACAACAACAAAAACAATCCACAATTTAAACAGCAAATACAATTAATTTGGATTCACAATTTGGGGTGAATTTTAAATTTGATCTGATTCTCTGATTACTGACTGTAAGATGTGGACTGAGATCAGTTCTTAGACAAGCCCTCTGCTGTAGCATAGCTCCAAACACCAGACTGTTCCAGAATCAGTGAATTAGACATTACACAACACTGTCCAGATGGCTAATCTGGCCCTGAGATAATGTACCAATGAATATGAATATCCATCTCCTGTCTCTCTCTACCTCCATATTTCCTGCATATAAATATAATTAGTAGTCTTATTGTGAGGTAATTTACAGTAATTCATACAAGTAGGCTAATTATATTTATATGATTTCATCAGCCTCCAGTCAATGCATAACAGCAACATTTCAGATTTTATATTTAGCACTTGGCTGTGAGAGAAATAGCAATGTGAGTAGTCCGTCTGTGTTGCTGGACTGAAGGTAAATAAAGAGATTTAAGATAGTGACGCAGGCTAAACACTACATTTTCTCCATCTCCATACAATCTAGTTTATAGCTGTCATTTAATTTGCCTCTATACATTCTCTCATGACAATACTATTATCTGCTGCGGAACAGACTTTGCATCATTACTGAACAACACAATGAGCTGAGCTCCTCAATAGAGGCACATGAGTGGATGGAGGAGAGACAGACACAGCCTACGTACATGCTGCCACAGTGATTACAGAAGATTCTGGACCAAATGCATTATAAAGGAAAGAAGCCAATAAACTTATTCTGCTATATTTTTGCTGCAGAATGAGCATAGAATGATAGAATGAGATCTATAGAATGTGTCTGCAAGGCCCTTACCTTGCCCTGGGTCATAATGGCTGTCTGGTGTTTATTTATCTCTCTGCTCCAGTCAAAGAAGCTCTGCTTTCCTTTTATTATTGTATCCTCTTGTATGTATCCTTTATGCCCAGACGTATTTGCAGTCAAAATAAAAGGACTGACACTAGGTCACTCTCTGCTGTTGCTTCTCTTAGATTAAACCACTTCTGATGCTGCAGCAGTGTCTTAATCCAACAGCCACGCAGTTAGGATTCTCACAGACCCCCCCCCCCCCCCACCTCACCCACAAAACGAACATTCTAGCAACATCCAGGTGAAGAAGCAGTGCTGTGGGAAGATTGGACTGTACCAGTACGCTTGGAAAAAAGGGGGGTACAGATGTTGTATCAGTATGTGAGTCAAGTGAGGATAGGGCCAGAGACAACTGGAATATTTGGTCTGCAGTAAAAAAAAAAATAGGGTGACGTAGATGTTCTGAAAGTTATGTTTACCCTCTACATCCCTGTCAGACGCAGTTAGGCTATAAATAAAAACGATTTTTTTTTTTTACATCACATATTTTTCTGCAGTAACTAAAGAGCAAGAAAAAACAAAGTTTAACATTTTCTATTTTTAGGTAATGCAATGATTCAGCATTCATTCATGAAAGGCTACTACATTCATGAAAATACTAGAATCACCTACTTATAAAACATGAATGTAACACTGTAGAATATGCCTTGATATTATCTATGTGGAGTATGACAAATCCGTCTAACAACATTATCACTGCAATTCAAAGGATCACAAAATGGCAAAGACAGTATTCAAATCTTATTTTGTCCATTTTTACAACATGTCCTGGAGGAGAATGATTTAAGAACAAGGCAAATACCGATGCCTCTCCAAGATGTATTCAGTATGCATTCAGAATCTAAATGCCTTCAACATGGGGTTTTATGTTTAATTACAATGGTCTGGAGAGCCCCATACAAGTTCTGTTTCTATAACAGCTACTAAAAAATTATGAAATTATCCGATATTGGTCCACAACAAACCATTCATAATATATTTTCCTTACACTAGCAATGTGTAATGTGAATTGATTGCAAAGTTGCTTTCATAACAGCTGAGGCTGAATTGATACACTGAATGAAGACTGAATTGTACTGATGTACTTGTTTATGATATTAGAGTGGGTGATATTTCTGCCGGAGCAAGCAGCCGTGCTAGTGTAGTGATGTAATCCTTGTTCTGCCATGGCTGAGAGGTACACCCTGAACAATGCAGTTAATAAACACTATGACACTACGACGTGGTCAGGCTGAGATATGAATAACATCCTGGAGCTCCACTGGTGCTACCTACTGGCACAACATTAATACAAAAGCAAGTGCGTCAGGGTGAGTGTGTGTGTGTGTGTGTGAATTTGCTTCTAAAGAAATAAGTTTATTCCGCATTGAAACCAACCCCTCGAGAAGACGCAGACTGCAGCATAGTAAATCCAAATAAACTATTTTTCTTCATATACTCAACAATCTAACAAGATATTTGCTAGTGCCAGTCTTAACAAAATGAAAACAAATAAATATCAGGAAATCTTGCAACTAAAAATATATACCTTACCGACACCAGATTATTTTAAATCATTGTCTAATATTGGCAACCCCTCTGTTGATTAAGTTTCAGTTTTCAGGCCTACAAAAGTTGTTCATTTCCCAAACAACTCTTCATCTTTGTAAACAAAGCAGTAAGTGTATTCCTAGTCCTTCTCCTCCATGGCATTGCCCAATGTTGGGACAGTTCAGTTTTCTGAATCTAAATGTCATTTACCACCCTCTCCTTTGGGCCCCTCCAGTCGGAGATCCACATCGTTCCTTCCCAGTGTAAAGAGACTGACCACAGCCAAGAGTGCAGCTAGCATCATAACAGCACAGCCCCCAAACATGCCTGGTTCAACTACCGCCCTCGCCCCCTTCGGTCCCTGACACCTCCCTGTGGAATGCCAGCAACCCCAGGCAGGCCATCAGGTGAAGGGGCAGCCTGAACCAGGCCAGCACCCCGGCCCTCTTCTCCTCTGGGATCACCCTCCCCTGGAGGAAGCTGACAGCGGGGAAGTAGAGGCCACTGTCCAGCTCCAGCAGCAGGAAGGCCAACAGGGACTCGTGGGGTCTGGTCTGGCCCGGGGCGGTGGAGAAGATGAGCATGAAGAAGGAGAAAAAGGTGAGCAGGCTGGAGGCAGTAGCGGGTGGAGGTGACCAGGCTGGAGGCAGTAGCGGGTGGAGGTGGCCAGGCTGGAGGCAGTAGCGGGTGGAGGTGGCCAGGCTGGAGGCAGTAGCGGGTGGAGGTGACCAGGCTGGAGGCAGTAGCGGGTGGAGGTGGCCAGGCTGGAGGCAGTAGCGGGTGGAGGTGACCAGGCTGGAGGCAGTAGCGGGTGGAGGTGACCAGGCTGGAGGCAGTAGCGGGTGGAGGTGGCCAGGCTGGAGGCAGTAGTGGGAAGAGGTGGCCAGGCTGGAGGCAGTAGCGGGTGGAGGTGGCCAGGCTGGAGGCAGTAGCGGGTGGAGGTGGCCAGGCTGGAGGCAGTAGGGGGAGGTGGCCAGGCTGGAGGCAGTAGCGGGTGGAGGTGGCCAGGCTGGAGGCAGTAGCGGGTGGAGGTGGCCAGGCGGTAGAGCAGGGACCCCGCCATGCTGGCAGCCATCAGGTAGGAGAAGACGATGCCCAGCGGAGGACCATAGTGGTCCAGGACGGGGGTCCACAGGAAGATGAATATATAGAGGACACTCTCAAATAGAGCCTGGACTCCTCCTAGCAGCATCACCCGTCTGTCTGATAAGAGACAGCGGAGACCTTCCTGACAGTTGCGCCAGAACCGGGCCCGCGCAGACGCCCGGGCCAGAGGTGCTGAACTAGAAGGACCGAGCAAGGGCGTCTTGTTGTCCCCTTCCAGACTTCCATCCTTCTTCTCCAGGCCTCAGTCGGTCAGCACCACCCAGCCACAGGTTCCCCATGCAGGGCACGGCCAGGAGGAAGGGCACCACAGGCCCCAGGTGGAGCCACACAGCCAGCATGTTAGCCACCAGTCCGGCCCCCACCGCCAACCCGTGGTTCCAGCTAGCAGCCTTGGTGAAGGTACTAGGGATCCATTCTTTAGGGAAGTCGTGGCCGTCCACATGTCACTGCACGTACCAGGCCTCGAAGGCTGTGGAGAGCAGAGAGGTGGACAGGCATCCTGGCATGCGACCCAGGATCAGGACAAGGTAGTCCCGGGACAGCTTGGTAAGGCAACAGGCTGAGTAGGTCACGCAGAAGAGCAGGCAGGTCCGTCTCCGGCCCAGGACCTTAATTAATTAATGCACATTTTAAATACACATAGAGCTGCCTCAGTCATGGCAGTTCAACAATACATACATTGTAAAAAGTCTAACGCAGTGTTTCCCAATCCTGGTCCTGGGGACCTAAAGGGTTGCACATTATATTTTTTGCCCTAACACTAACAAACTCAGGTGTGTTAGTGCTTGGGAAAAAACATAATTGCACACCCCTTTGGGTCCCCAGGATTGGGAAACACTGGTTTAAGGACTTATTTTTTTATTGGCTCTCGGATCATCGGTTCTCGGACCAACAGGCTCCGAGACAGCTTCTACCACCAGGCCATCAAACTGCTGAACGGCGAACGCTAGCTGTCTACCTGCTCAGACCTGCACCTTAGAGACTATTTGCATTGACTCTCCACACATCCAACACTAACACACAAGGGCACACACAAGCACACTCACAGTCAACGCTGCTGTTCTATTTATATACTATTTTACTGAACTGCGTGCCCAAGACACTATTGACTTTATATTTGTAAATACAGTCATACTTGACATAGCACATTCATAATTTATACTGAATATCCTATTGTGTATCTATCAGTTTTATTACTAAAATGCATACTACTTTCTTCTACTACTTGTTATTTTTTATTTAATTATATTGATACTTCACTGTTGAGGAAGCTTGCAAGTAGGCATTTCACTGCATCATTTATACCTGCTGTAAACTGTGTACTTGACGAATAAACTATTTTATTTTATTTTATTTTTATTGTGGTCCTGGTTATTGTTACCTGAGTGAGCCGGCTGGCCACGGGGGCAAACAGCACACAGGATGCCAGGACAACGACATACAGGATGGCTATCTGGGACTCCAGGAAGCTGTAATTGCGGTAGAGCTTGTAGAGGTTTGGCCCCTGTAGCCAGTCAACAGACAAGGCTAGGAGGTAGCCTCAGAGGAACAGGGTCTGGAACCTACGGAAGGCAGGGTTGGTTCCCACGGCAGAGGGGGTGGGTTGAGGTGGGGTGAGGCGACGTGCCGTGAGCTCCAGACCGATGCATAGCGCCAGTAGGACCACGATGGCCAGGTTGGCTGCCACCAACATGATGGGTTTGTCCAAGTGTGACTGTTAGGGGAGGGGAGGTCTCTTCACTCCTGTCTTATCCGTTGTGGCTCAATCAAAGGCTGCGGAGACAGAGACTCTATTACTAACATCACCAGAAAGACAGTTATTGTGAATATCTACCAACATAAATAACTTAAAGCCAAGTTATGTAAAAATGGCATCCATACTAGCCATCTAAAGAAGATGTTTGCTTAGGGTTGTCATCTCATCTGGATACTGCTGCATGAGATAACTGCAAATCAAATCAAAGTTTATTGGTCGTGTACAGATTTATAGGTGTTATGCCGCGTTCACGTCATGTCGGAAACTCGGGACCTCAGAGTTCAAATGAATGTAAATTATTTGCGTAGAGCTTCCTATTGGTTGATTCTGATACCTCCCAAGTGGTAAACTCGTGATCATCCGACTCTTGCGCCTAGGTTAGCAAGTCAGACATTACTGAGTTTCCGACATGACGTGAATGGGGCATTATAGCAGGTGCAGCGAAATACTTACCTTGTTTGATAGTTTCAAAGGCTTAAAATCAAACTAAAGTTCTGGCAGGTAGCAACCTCATTGGATACCAAAAAATAATAAAAAATGGATACCAATGTACATTTTGTACGTTTGCTTCCACAAGATAGCTAAGCAGCTAGCATAAGCTTGGCAGTTACGTACGGCTTACCTTCTTCAACCACCTGCATCTTTCCATACATCCCACTGAGGATTGTGTTACTGGAGTGCTGACTAAAAGCCGATATATGCTTGATCTGGAAATGTGGTAAGGAGGGTGTGACGCAATTGCGGAGCCAGGGCACACTCGAACACTCAGACATCATTTACAAACGAAGTATGTGTGTTTAGTGAGTCTAACAGATCAGAGGCAGTAGGGATACCATGGATGTTCTCTTGAAAGTGTGTGAATTGGACCATTTTCCTGTACTGCTAAGCATTCAAAATGTAATAAGGACGTTTGGGTGTCAGGGAAAACATATAGAGTAAAAAGCACATTATTTTCTTTAGGAATGTAGAAGTAAAAGTTGTCAAAAATATTTTTTACTCAAGTACTTTACACCACTGGCCCTGAATCATTACGAGTGGTGTGGTGCAGACCAATTTATTGGATATGTATGACAGCTCCCCGAAGCGCAAGAAGTATAAATGCTCTGACTTCTGCGGAGGCTGCATCGCAGTAAATGCTAGATGTTGGAATGACCATACAATCTGTATGCGCAAACTGTCATTTCTCCAAAAGAAAAAATACATGAGTTCAGTGTTGGATCTGCACCACGAGATGCATCAAACATTGTCTATTGCTCTCTTGCTGCATGCATGTGCATGTTGTATCCGACACATGTGCATGGGTGAACCACAGCTAGTTTGGGGCATAGAAAAGTTAGTCAGCACTCCAGCAACATCTTTACTTTGGTGAGTAACAAAAGTATATTGAAGCCTGTTAACTTAACAAAATCATGAAAAAAAAGTCATATATGGAGGGGTGAATAGAGCTCGCCAGCTTGTAGTCCTAAAACCCGGAAATGAGTTACCTCTGGTTCGTTCAGCCATCAGTATGTAGTGCTGAGTGATTAACCAACATTTAGTTGTTTTGTTTGTTATTAAACAACTAATTGACCGACATCACCTACTTTAGTGAACTTGCGCGAGACATTGCAAGCCAAGAAATAGCGAAATACAGCATTGCGATAGCCTACACATCTTCTGAATACCGATGCACGGTTCTGCCTTGTGGCCGACATGCCTGGCTGTGACCCTCCCATCACTCTCCCTCTTTCTTTGCTGTGAAAGATGCGAGAGTTTGTGTTCTCGAAGTAGACTACGGAAAATAGTTTCCTCAGTTGCAAAAATACAGAATCTTAGGAGTCGAGGAATCGATTATTTTGGAGTCAACTCCCCACCACTAGTTCCCATTGGAAACGACAGGCTGTGGTTTATCTTGAGTTAGTTTGAAAAACAAAATAAACATATTTGGATGTAGGGGGCTCAAGCCGCACATAACCCAATGGACCAGAGCTTGCTACACAACTAGCTTCTCCACTCGGTGGCAGCCTTTCCTTTTCTATCCAGATGGTGCATTGCTTCTCCATCTCTGCACTTGCAGTAGGGTCGTCACTGGTTACCACAGTCACAAAGTCATAAACCCCGCCCACTTCTACAATTTATCTTCTTAAAATGTGATTTTAAACCTAACCTTAACCACACTACTAACCTTATGGCTAACCCTACCCTTAAATGAAGACCAAAAAGCACATTTTTTTCATTAATTTTTACGATATAGCCATTTTTGAATTTGTGGCTGTGGTAACTAGTGGAAACATTGCATTAGCCCCAATATTGGACTAAAGGAGCCTAACGTTACACCTTCAAGGACCTCCTTACATGTTCTTTTAGAAGGGTGAATTGGCTCTGGAAGCCAAAACAGCCAAATACTCCATCTAAACATGAATCGATTCTCAATTGCGGTACAGTTCTAGAAACAGAAATCCCTCTACTTTCATGTCACATCAAAATAATTTCACAAATGCAAAATACAAATTTACTGTACACTGTTTTCACTGGTTTTAACACAGTTGCAGCCAATAGTATTTTTCAGTGACAACAAGTTTGTGTCGTCTGTCAGAGTTCAGAGACGCAGATAGCTAATTCGCATAGGTAGTCTACTCTGTATTCCGTCTGTTTTACGTAAACAAGCTCTGTAACATGGAAATATGGCTGTGTGGGAACCTAGCCCTATAAAGGTGTGTATATAAAAAAATATATATATATTTCTTGCTGATATGAAAGATAAGGTCCTTATGCATAGCTGCGGGAAGTAGCAGTGCTGAGGGTGCTGCCTCGAAAAATCAGAATAAAAAATATATATTAATAAAAATACATATTGAAAAAAAACATTTTTTTGAAAACAATATATTTCACAATAGTAGTGCACTGGGTCTTTACTAGTATTAGCAGACCGATATAGACTTCTGTAGCAGGGGCCAAACATTTCAGCATCTCTGCTTTGGCAAAAAAAAAAGGTAGTAGTATAATTAAGAACAGTATCTTGCAGGATTCAATAGTTGGAATTGTAAGAGTTGTTGCCCTGTCCCTTTCTCTGTGATCGTCATTCTAATGGAATCCTGAAAGAACAAAACACTGTCCTCAAACATTTACATAAAATGCTGCGAAGTTATGGGCAAAGACACAAAACAACCACATCAAATTAAATATTTTTCTTGATCAAATAACATAGAAAACAACCACTTTTTGTGCAGTATTAATTTACCATCCTTACAAACCACTTAATGTACATTACTGTATTGCACATAGGCTGGTCATCTAGGTTTGTACCTGTAGACTTTCCATCCCCATGAAGAAAAACAATGCACAACACAGTAATAGAGTACATTGAGGCATCAAGTGGTTTGTGATGGTGTGATGTGGTAGAGCATGGCGCTTGCAATGCTAGGGTTGTGGGTTCAATTCCCACGGGGATCAGTATGAAAATGTATTTACTCACTACTGTAAGTTGCTCTGGATAAGAGTGTCTACTAAAATGGAAAAGGAATGAATAGACCATTTCAATTTTCACATAGAAATAAGTTGCATTTGCAAAGTACTTCAAGAAACTGGAAAACATATCAAGCAAGTATTTTTAAGTATTATCTGATTAACTATTTTGTACAGATAATTATCAGACTCAAGTTACAAATGCTGGTAAACACTCAAATACATTTAGTTTAAACATTTTCACAAAAGTAGTGCACTGAGCCTTCACTAGTCCTGTATTAGCAGACCAATACAGTGCTGGCAATTTTTGTGTTGGCAAAAAAATCGCAGCACCCCTACCCTCAAACGACTTCTACCGGTTATGTCCTTATGCTTCCAAAACCGTACTGCAAGTGATGCGTGTTAATGTTCAGACCGAGTGTCACGGCTCTTAACAAAACTCCCCCCTACAGAAGAGGCCTTCCTCCAATAACTCTTATGTGTAAGGTAATGGAACTGAGAGTCATGATCAAGGGCTACACATGCAGAACATCCAGAATATTCTTTTTTGCACAATAATCTATTCAGAAATGATACTGCAATGATGATTCATGCATAACATTATTTATTATTCAAGAAATCTGAAATGCATGCAAGTATGTATCATTGTAGCCTACTACTGAGAATCAGTTTGTCTCTCTTTAACAGTTTGAAAGGCAGTAGGCAGTATAGGCACTAGTCAGTCTTATTTATGACTTGATTTTTACTGGGGTATTTTCATAGATTAAATACTGAATTGGGTCAGTGTGTTGTACGGCATTGGTGAAGCAGGATTTTTGTGGAAACCTGCATCTCATGGAATGTTAGGCTTGTAGGTTTGTTATGTGTTAGATTATTTTGGGACACCAAAGAAGAAACACAAGGCGGAATTCAATAGGTACATCATTTAATCTTTATATAATTTCTATGGAAGAACAAGAAGAAACAAAATTTACAAAATGTACAAGAAGATGTGCTCAGTTAACCATAATCTCAACTAGCAGGGAGTGGATCAGATCTGTAGCAATCAGATAAGATCCTTATTCACCCTGAAAGTGTCTTTTTCAGTTTGTATGACAAACTTTGGGGATGGGTGGGTAGGTGCATATTGTGGATTTGTGGAGTGAGGAGCGCTGGTGAATTCAGCGATTCTGCTGGTTTGATTCAATATCTGATCTGACCTGACACCCTTTATGAGTTATGAAAAAAAAGTATGAAAATGTATGCACTCTGGATAAGAGCGTCTGCTAAATGACTAAAATGTAAATGTTACTGGCACAGCCTTCTCCCCAATACAATACAGAGCCCTCTCCAACATTACTTTCTCCAGTGCACAGCCCACTTCTTCATTGCCAACCCCCACCCTTTACAGAGAGTCCATTACATTCCTATAGGCTCTGATCCATAGACTTGTCTCATATACTGTGATTTTGCCCAGCAGATCCACCATATATTGTTATTATTTGAATAAGACAATATATTATTTACAACAACAAAATAATCCCAACAAAATGGAGTACAAAACCCAACATGCTTGGAGACAGTGCTGTCTCTGATGTGATTCTTGATGCAGATGTAACAATACACAGAAAATAGCATTTCTATATGAAATACACGTCTGTTGAATATATTTGTGACTTAATTGCATATTTAAACCACAGACGTGTTTGTAAGTGAAATGGGAGTCATATGATCTTAAGTGTAAAGTTTATCTATGCATTATTATTATCATCATTATCATCGTCGTCGTCGTCGTCATTATTATTATTATTATTATTATTATTATTATTATTATTATTATATACAGGATCCCTTTCTCTTATACAAACATTCAGTCACCAATAATGGTCCCTGACTTATCATCGTCCACAAACATCTCCCTCTCTGATTCTCTCTCAACTGTGGTTTGGCGATGGTCAGGAGATTAGGAATGAGTTAAACAAGTGAACTGTCTTTTGGTCTCTGGGTAAACATCAATACACATTAATCTGTCCAGGGGGGTAATGGTAAGCCTAAAACACTGATGTACATTCTAACAGACCATCTTTCGCCAAGTGGAGATCTTGAGGTTATTTGTGTGTGTGTGTGTGTGTGTGTGTGTGTGTGTGTGTGCATTAGTGTGCATGAAAACAGGATGAAGATCAAAATCTGTTCATTATTGTCATTTTTCAAACATGCTTCTTGAATATATATATTTTGATTTGCCCATGTCATCGTTGTACTCTTCATGGGAAGTCTCTGGACAGTCCTGCCCTGAGAGTGGTGGTGGGCAAGTTGTGATTGGCTGTGTGTGTGTGTGAGTGGATGTGTTTGTATGTGTCAGGGCTGTTCAAGGGTCAATGTTGAAGGCCATCAGCTTGTCTGAGTGCAGGTTGTTGAGGGTGCGCAGATCGGGCAGGCGCAGGAGCAGCTTGGGGAAGATGGCAGCGCTCTCTTCAGGACGACGGCGGTGGATGAGAGAACGCATGGCGTGGATCAACCCCTCCTGGAGCTGTTCTACTGCACCCATGTCAGCGATGCCTGAACGGTCTGAGAAGACGAGAGGAGACAGGGTGAGAGTTTGTTTGAGAAACAGCAATATCTATTTATGGATGTCAGCACAGCTTTGTGGTTGGTTAGTTTATCGTTATGTTTATCGTTATCATGATTAAATACAAAAATATATTCTAAAAAAATCATACCATTCAAGTAAGCCTATCTCCATTCTGGTCAAGGTACAAATGTAAGCCTATCTCCATACTGGTCAAGGTACAAATGCAATACTATATTTTCTAAACTGGCTATTGTCATGTTGTTCAAACTCTCCTCCTCTTGCTTCAGAGATGAACTAAATGGCTTGGAAAAATTAAGGAATTAAACGTCTGTTTGTCTCACCTGCAGAGACCAGCACCACGGCCATGAACAGAGCCATCTCATCAGGCTCCAGCCTCAGAGTTCCCAGCTTCTCACTGAAGTCAAACATGGAGTTGAGCAGCGCCCCCATTCCCAGCACCCGCAGGGTGGACAGAGGGTATGTCTGGCCGTTCAGGAAGGTCACCGTCCGCTCCTCAGGGTTGAACAGGGTGCAGAACCTCACCATCAACACCTGACCGAGACAGAAGGCACAATGGAAAGGTTAGCCAACATGGAGTGGGATTACATTTATTGGGAGAGAAAATTAAGAGGTGTTTTGTACTTCATTTCAGCTGGAGTTACAAACAAATATCTGATTTAGAGCCGGTTTCCCGGGCCCAGATAAAACCTAGTTCTGGACTAAACAAGCGGTTACTACCTGGAAGGTGCCTGATTTGAGCAGCATGACCTGGTCGTGCTGGCTGAGATCCTGGAAGCCAGGGATGCCCTTAGCGAACTCCACCACTTCCCTCACTGCTGGGGTGAAACACTGGGAGAAAGACTCCCATACCTGCTGGCCGGAACGACTGGCCTCAGAGACAGGACACGCATTGAGAGGACAAGCCTGAGAAAGTTAAGAGAGGGTTAGATAGTGTTAGATAGAGAGAGAGAGAGTTAGATAGAGAGAGAAAGCTAGATAGAGAGAGTTAGATACAGGTAGATTGTAATCACACTACACTATAGTTTTGCAGCTTAACAAAAGTCAAGTTTAATACCAACTTTATAACAACTCTCCATTTACTCACCAACACTTTGGTGCCCACTGCTAACTTCCATGGACAGGAAGTCTGAGTTTGGGTCTCTTGGGTCTCTTCCTTCATGGAGAAACAGTTATGATTTGTCGGGCTGCCCCTTTGAGGCATGCCAATATTGGACTGTCCATGATTCTGATTGGATGTTGCAGGGTAACTATAGCAGCTGTTGTCCACAGACGGGAATGTATGGTGGTTGTCATTGGTTACTGAGCAGCAAGGGACGGGGCCTGCAGGACAGGACTGATACCCCTGGGTAGAGCCTGAGCCGGAGTGGGAGGAGCCATAGGAGGTCTCCTGAGATGCGTTACTCTTGAAGGGGCAGGATGTTGGGAGGTTGTTATTGTTGTTATTGATGTTGATGCCCGTCTTGGCTGCCCTGCCTTGGCTGCTGGCGAAGATGTCCTGATAGGACTGTGAGATGGCTCCAATAGCCTCTTTAGAAGGAACCTCTGCTGGGCTGGGAGGGGCTTCGGAGATGGGGGAGGAGTCTACGTCCATGATGGTGTTAGACTCGTTCAGGCTGTTCATGTAGCTTTGCATCTCATCCAGAAGCCTCTGCTTCTCCCTCTTAGGGATACGGCCAAAACGCACAGCTGAGGAAGACACAAACAGAAGGGACTGGTTAACACCTATAGTAGCCTACATGATAAGACTTGGAGGAATGTGTTTAAATGGTCTGTACAGAAACCAAAATATTCACACATATCCTTGATTACTAAAATGCGTTAATTGTATCTTGTTGTATTTTCCATATGGATGAATCTGAGCAGATTGTGTAAGTCTTGTAGTGGATCCCATCCCTCCATCTCCTCATCCAAGCCCCCCTCTCCTCCTCCCTACCCCCTCTCCTCCTCCCTACCCCCTCTCCTCCTCCCTATCTCCTCCCCTCCTCCCAAACACCTCTCCTCCTCCCTACCCCGTCTCCTCCTCCCTACCTCCTCCCCTCCTCCCAACCCCCTCTCCACCCCCTCCCCTCCTCCCTCCCCCCTCTCCTCCTCCCTACCCCCTACCCCCTCCCCTCTTCCCTACCCCCTCTCCTCCTCCCTACCCCCTCTCCTCCTCCCTACCTCCTCCCTACACCCTCTCCAAAAATATCCATCAGCTGGAGATGCTATTGATAGACCCCCTCTCTCTCCTCCTCTCTATCTCTCTCTCCGTCTCTCCTTCCTTCCTTACCTCGCTCCCTCCCTCCTTCTCTGCTCTGTAAGTAGGGCAGTGGGTCATCGTGAACGTGATGTCACTGCTACTGCGGAAAGAGATATGGGCTCTCAGCACGCAGGAAGGAGAGGTTGCAGAGAACGAGGGAGGGAGGGAGGATGGAGAGGTTGCAGAGAAGGAGTGAGGGAAGCAGGAAGTATAGGTTGCAGGGGATGGAGGGGGTAAGTGACAGTGAAGAGGAGGAGTGAAGTAGGAGATTACAGAGCGAAAGTAGTCAGTGAGGAGTGTGAGACGCCACAAGGTGGCGCGTGAGATAAGAAGTAGACTTCAAACAGCAGTCCTGCCTCGTGAGAGTTCTCCAACCCAGCCAGCACAATGCATGAGACAAAATGTAAATTGTGTATAAGAATGATTAAGAAGAGTGCAAGCATGAACATACAGTGCCTTCGGAAAGTATTCAGACCCCTTGACTTTTTCCACATTTTGTTACATTACAGCCTTATTCTAAAATTGATTTAAAAAAATTAAAAACCTGAGCAATCTACACACAATACCCCATAATGGCAAAGCAAAAACAGGTTTTGAGAAATTTCTGCAAATGTATTATAAATAAAAAACGGAAATACCTTATTTACATAAGTATTCAGACCCTTTGCTATGACATTCGAAATTGAGCTCAGGTGCATCCTGTTTCCATTGATCATCCTTGAGATGTTTCTACAACTTGATTGGAGTCCATTGTCACATCTACTCCTGCTCCTCCCCTCCGGCGTGCGACGTCACCGGAATACTAACTACCGGTCCTGGGATTTATCATTACACACACCTGCAGATCATTATGATTCACACCTGGACTCCATTACCTTCCTCATTACCTCCCCTTTATCTGTCCTCCTACGTTCATTCCTCAGTCAGTATTGTTCCTGTGATCATGCTATATCGCCACTGTTACGCTGTCTCGTTTCATGTTTGTTGTTTTATTAAACGTTTCACCTGCACCTGCTTCTCGACTCACAGCTTCATTGTTACATCCACCTGTGGTAAATTCAATTGATTTGGAAAGGCACACACCTGTCTATATAAGGTCCCACAGTTGACAGTGCATGTCAGAGCAAAAACCAAGCCATGAGGTCGAAGGAATTGTCCGTAGAGCTCCGAGACAGCATTGTGTCGAGGCACAGATCTGGAGAAGGGTACCAAAAAATGTCTGCAGCATTGAAGGTCCCCAAAAACACGGTGGCCTCCATCATTCTTAAATGGAAGAAGTTTGGAACTACCAAGACTCTTTCTAGAGCTGGCTGCACGGCCAAACTGAACAATCAGGGGAGAAGGGCTTTGGTCAGGGGGGTGACCAAGAACCTGATGGTCACTCTGATAGAGCTCTAGAGTTCCTCTGTGGAGATGGGAGAACCTTCCAGAAGGACAACCATCTCTGCAGCACTCCACCAATCAGGCCTTTAGAGAGAGTGATTGTCTGGGAGTTGTCTGAGTGGGGAGGGGAAAACTGAAAACTATCAGTTATTGGCAGAGAGGTTTTGAACTCGCTTTCCTATTGGTTTATTATCCAATTAACTGCCTGGTGATGTCACCATTCCACCAAAACAGGTAAAAAAATTCTAACAGCTCACACTACAAGGGCATTATCATAATTTTCGCAATTTCACAGTATTATTCCAACCTCATGGTGTGGAAATATATATATATTTGTATGTATGTATGTATATATATATATATATATATATAAACAGGAGAATCATGTTTTTGACTGCACTGGGCCTTTAACGAATCTGGCATCATTACATGATCTGTTGGGTCTCTGCACTGTCCCTAAAGATCATCGATCTAGTTTGAGCTAAAGGGCTATGCACAGTGGCATGAGGTTAGAGGAGATCTGCTATGTTAGTTTACATGGATTTACTATTATATGGCATGAAATTAGTCTGTAGTGTCTAGTCATTACAGTATGTGAGAATGAAATAAAAGCACTGGAAGTATGGACTGTATCTTTAAGAAGATTAACTGGTTTCAGGGAGGGAAAGTATGCCACTACTGTGCCAACTGACTTAAATATTTGCCTTGCCTATACGATATCACAAGATACAGAATCACACATCATCAGGCTCCTGAGAATTTAGGGCGTATTCTTTAATGTGGACTGCAGGCAGTTGACTGAGGTTTTCCTGTTTTCGCAACAGTTGCAGCAGAAGGAAAGAGGTTTCTAGGTTGCGGTTCTTGACAATTGCGACAACATATTTTTTTAATAGGGTCAAAATGAGTGTTTGTTCCCTTTAAAAAACTCTACACTACCCTCGTTTATTGTACTCAACCTTTGAGCAACCAAACTGTCGACCGCATGCATAAATCACACTTGGTTCTCTCGTAGATTAAGGAATAGATTACTCTACAGATAATTACAACAACACTGACAGGAAGAAGAGTAGGAGGCAGGCAAACAATTCCAACGAGGTCACGATCTACCACTATGCTATAGGTCACATCTTTGCTTTTTTTTAAATACACCGAAACGTATTCTTGTAATCTGTGATGGGGCAATTTATCAATATTTAGCTTATTAAGACTAAAAGCGTATGATAAAGATTGATTAATTGCGTGTCAAGGCCAAGCTGTTTTGTTAATGCATCTCAAGCTTAATTGTTTGCTGTATCCCTAATTAATTCCACAAGATGTTATAAGGGCAAACAGTACACAAGGTAATCAAGTTGCCCCTGTTCCAATTTCCCAAAATAATTCCTGTTTGCTGCAGTCTGGATGACAGATAGCTTTTGGGACTTCAAAGCTCCTGTTCTCATAAATCACTGTCGTAGAGAAGAGTGGGATGGGGGTGAGGAGAGTGGAATGGAGGAGAGGAGAGTGGGATGGAGGGAGAGGGAGGAGGAGAGTGGGATGGAGGGAGAGCTGAGGAGGAGAGTGGGATGGAGGAGAGGATAGTGGGATGGAGGAGAGGAGAGTGGGATGGAGGGAGCTGAGGAGGAGAGTGGGATGGAGGAGAGTGGGATGGAGGGAGAGCACAGGGGGAGAGTGGGATGGAGAGAGAGCACAGGAGGAGAGTGGGATGGAGAGAGGAGTGGGATGGAGGGAGAGCCGGGAGGAGAGCGGGATGGAGGGAGAGGAGAGCGGGATGGAGGGAGAGGAGAGTGGGATGGAGGAAGAGCACGGGATAGAGGGAGAGCACAGGAGGAGATTGGGATGGAGGGAGAGCACAGGGTGAGAGTGGGATGGAGAGAGAGCACAGGAGGAGAGTGGGATGGAGGGAGAGCACAGGAGGAGAGTGGGATGGAGGGAGAGCACAGGAGGAGAGTGGGATGGAGGGAGAGCACAGGAGGAGAGTGGGATGGAGGGAGAGCTCAGGGAACATGGAGTTGAGGAACATGGAGAGGGGCAGGGACATGAGAGGAGAGAAGAGGAGGAGTCTGAACAAGAGAAAGGCAGACTGACTTTGAAACTTTTGAATGTGCAAGAGGCTGTGTGGATGTAGGGTATTTTCCTAAGTGTGCCCTTCAACAGTAGGCCAGTGCAATGTCTCAGGTGAAAGATAAAAAGACAAGGTTGGTGCAGTGCTGATGGAGCTAGTAACTGATAAACCCTCATTGGATGGCCTCAAAAAACTCTCTGCCCCATTTTGAGACTGCACTATCATTAAGATGTCACTATAACTCTTACCATCTCTGGACATGCCGACGAAGAGACATTTCTTGAAGCGACAGTGTTGGCAGCGGTTGCGGTTCATTCTCATGATGAGGCAGTTCTCGTTCTTCACACACATCTTGTAGTTGATGTTCTGCTGGATGCTGCGACGGAAGAAACCCTAGACAGGAAATACAAGCAGATGTAAAGTTAGTTTGCATCCTGGTTGGTTTTAATGGTAATATAGACTGTGTAATGTAATCATATCATATACAGTATGTGTTTGTGTTTATTTGTCAGGGTCTTTACCTTGCAACCCTCACAAGCGTGCACTCCGTAGTGGAACCCAGATGCAATGTCTCCACACACTTTGCACAGGAGCACCATCCCACCAGTCTCTGTAGATATAGGAAGACAGAGGCACAGATAATAAGACGTGATCAGATCAGTGAGCCTACGAGGGTGAATACCAACCAATTGTACAAGCAACAAAATATGTGTACATTAGACCAAAAGATTTGGGGGACATGGGTAATGGACCTGAATTCCTTCAGGTTCAGGAATTAAAGAGAGAAAATAACACATTGATAAACAACTCACTGGTGAAAGTTCCTGTGAATCCACATGGCCTTTTCCCAGCGATGGGGTGTTGGTAGGTGTGCTGTTGGGTGGATGTTGATGTAGCCACATTGTAGACTTCTGGGAACTGGAACACCAGTTTGGAGGATGGAGGGGTACATCTTCCTCCCCTCTGGCTCTTCAGGGACCCCAGCGGACCGAGCTCTGTGAAGGTGACCTCCTCTGGGGAGGAGGGCTGGGAGTGGGAGGGGGGGGACTGGGTCTGGTACCCACTGGACGGGCTGCCAGGGCTGGGGCTGGGGCTGCCAGGGCTGGTGCTGGGGCTGCCAGGGCTGGAGCTGCCAGAGGAGCCCGCAAACAGAATAACACCACCTGTTTGCAAAACAGAGACAGAGTGGGGAGTTAGTCAGGTAGTCTATACAAAATAGCTGAGAAGTTTACTCTGAAAAGGAGTTTAAAGTCTCAAAGTTCATGCTGTAGTTTAGGATGCCATATTTAAAAGGGCTGTACTGAATGCATTTTGGTGTTGAAAAATATGCTATTTATACAAGTGCATAACATGTTTTGGAACATGTTTTACTGTGATGTCATGTTGCACACCCCTCTGACCCTGCAAAGGAGGACAGCTCTGAGAATTTGCTGCAAGCCTCTCATCATATGATATGAATTTAATAGGCATAATTGTGCATTCAAGCACATGCAGGGAGAGTGGAGCAAGGTTAACAATGTTGGAAACACAGCTACACAGCGCGAGCAGGTTCTGTGCCAACCAAAGTCTAACTCCCACTGGCTAGATTTCTATCCAATTGGCGACAGATTTTCATGCCAATATTCTAAAATATGCATAAAGAAAATATGCGCATTTTCCCACCAGTGGTATGTTTCCACCAAACTGACTTGTTGGGGAATTAAAATCAGTACATGATGATGTACTTTTTCGCTTAAGTTTTCATGTAGGCCTACCGAATAAAAATCGAATGTTCATTGTGTTTCCATCACATTTTCAATTCTATGGATAGTTTTGTCACAAGCTGTTGCGTTAAATATAAATGGGCCTACTCTGGTATTGGCACGTGCGCGCTCTAGCCAGTAGCTCGCAGATACAGTGAAGGGTAGGCTGTGTGGGTTGGCTAGTCTACATGATGAGATTATTATGGATAAGAGCGAAAATATTTGTATTTTACCGACACAAAATGATCCCACTATGTCGAACGAACAAAATATGTCTGCGTTTATAAATTTACATCGAAACTTCCTGTTTCCATCACAGCTGTCATGATTTAGTTTTATAAGATATGACTTTAGGCTACTCGTGGATGGAAACGTGGTTATTGAAACATATTTTTTTTGCGTCAGGCAAACCACAGTATTTATTTTGCGGTCGTTATAAATAGGCTAAGGAAATTAACATAGCGTTTTATCTCTGTTTATAATTTTTTCCCCCTCCGCCCTTCGCATGCACTCACTACTGCAAGTCGCTCTGGATAAGAGCGTCTGCTAAAATGTAAAAATGGTTCCATGATTTTAGAAATATAGGGCTGGGGGCGCCCCGGGAATGATGTGGTATAGAGGGGTACAATGTTTCACTGTAGCCTACTGTACATTAAACTCGCCCCCAGTATGGAAAGAGCGAGTCACGTTCTCCCATAGAGAGAGTAAACTGTACCGAACTTTGGGTTTACTTTTTGAGCTTGCTGAGTTTGTAAATCAGAGATAGAGGGCAGTGATAGTTAGCCTATTGTAGGTCTATACATAGAATAAAAACGATATTCCCAAATATCATGCACTTGTCATGTAACCTTACATTTTGAATGGGAAATTTGATAATCTGTCCTTTTTCTTTCCTCTTGTTCTCTGCTGCACCGGGTATTTGTTTAGCTCAAGTGTTTTTATAATCCTCCAGCCAGCAAGTGCTGCAGGATTGATTGTTAACACAGCAGAGCTAGCGCTAGTCTTATGACAGGGACCTGCTGGTCCTGCCCTGGCCTGCCACTTCCTGAGACTGGAAACAATCAGCCTGCTGCTGACCCAGCCAGGACTTGCCCCACCTCCACCACCACACCCACCCAAATACATTGCATGTCCACCTGAACACTCACGTGAGTTACTTCTATGTTTGTTTGTGTGTGTGAGGGGCCCTCAAAACTGGTGCCATAAATGTGGTCAATTAATAATCTGCTTTTACAGTCTCCCCAAGGCGAAGCTTGACTATACTGCTATATACTGTACTGCCATAATATGTCATATGCTTGGCCAGCGGCTAAGTAGAGTATATGGCTTTTGTGTCAAGTCGACTAACTCAAATTCAGAGAACATGGTCCTCATGAGAGTATAGAAAATCATAGGGGGCCATAGGACTTTAGGAATGTGAATTGGCTTTGTTGGCTTTGATGTTCAGCCAGTAGGATAGCACATAGCCTATAGCACGTGCCAGATTATTCCCAATGTAACCCAGAGAATAGACAGAAGAAGAGCCATACACTCACAGCCATACACACTTAATTGTGGAATCAGCAGCAGGTTGGGGAGTGAGGAAAGCAGCTTCCCATCGTGACCTTTACCAACCTGTTCTGCCACTAATCTATCTGCCTGAGTGGGTGAATAGAGCCAGGCAGGCTGTCAGGCAGGGAAACGTGAGCGCTGAGCACTTAAGAGGCACAACAATTCTTCCCCACATCCTCCTCCCCTATTATATAATTTCCCTGGTTTGTTCTCTGTGCTACGTTATGCGACAGCTGTAAGCCTGGCAAGGCTGCTAGTGTTTTCCTAGCTCGTTTTGCCTTTGCAATGACTTGTCATGAAGGATAGGGTGGAGGTAGAGGGTAGGGTGGAGTGGAGGTAGAGGGTAGGGTGGAGGTAGAGGGTAGGGTGGAGGTAGAGGGTAGAAGGTAGGGTGGAAGTAGAGGGTAGGGTGGAGGTAGAGGGTAGGGTAGAGGTAGAGGGTAGGGGTGGTAGAGGGTAGGGTGGTAGGTAGAGTGGTATAGGGGTATGAGTATAGAGGGTAGGGGAGGTGGGTAGAGGTGTAGGTAAGGAGGTGGGGTAGAGGTAGGGTGGAGGTAGGGGTAGGGTGAGGTAGTGGGTATGGGTGGTGGTAGAGGGTAGGGTGGTGGTAGGGTGGGTGGGGTGTGGTGGTAGAGGCGTTGGGTGGTGGTGGTAGAGGGTTGGTTGGTTGGGGTCGGGTGGTGGTAGGTGGTGGATGGTTGTCGTTGCTTTAGGTCTGTGTTGGGTTCTGCGGTTGGGTGGGTGGGTGGTCGGGTGTCGCGGGTGGGGTGAGGGTCGGTGCGTGCGGGTGTGGTGTCGGGTAGGTGGTGGGTAGGTGAGGTAGGTGGGGTGAGGTGGGTTAGAGGTGGTGGAGGTGGTGGGGTAGGGTAGGTGGGGTGAGGTGGGTGAGTGGGGTAGGGTGGAGGTAGAGGTAAGGGTGGAGGTAGAGGTAAGGATGGAGGTAGCAGGTAGGGTGGAGGTAGAGGAGGTCACCCATTTGGCTCCATATACTGTAACTTATAGCTAGATCATAACAGTTTGTGAATTATTGATGTACAGTATGTGGCTGAAGCCAGGATCCAAACTGACAGCTGCCAAAAGCATCCTAAGTAAATACATTACAGTAAACATCCTTGACCAATGAGGAGCATGTTACTATGTCGCTAACAGACTGCATTAATCCAGCTAGGAGAAGAGAAGTAGTCCACTGTCTCAGTAACAAGGTGCAATGGTATTTGGATGTGCGCTCCGTGGCTGACATAGATGCTGCAGCAAGCCTATAACCACACACATGACACGCGCACACATGCATACTGATGCCACAAACACACTCACACACTTTCACACTCACCACATACGCTGCTGCTACTGTCTATTATCTATCCTGTTGCCTAGTCACCTCTACCTATATACAGTGAGGGAAAAAAGTATTTGATCCCCTGCTGATTTTGTACGTTTGCCCACTGACAAAGAAATGATCAGTCTATAATTTAAGAGTGTGCTTTAAGAGTGTGCTCCTAATCTCAGCTCGTTACCTGTATAAAAGACACCATGGGAGCCAGAAATCTTTCTGATTGAGAGGGGGTCAAAATGTATTTCCCTCATTAAAATGCAAATCAATTTATAACATTTTTGACATGCGTTTTTCTGGATTTTGTTGTTGTTATTCTGTTTCTCACTGTTCAAATAAACCTACCATTAAAATTATAGACTGATCATGTCTTTGTCAGTGGACAAACGTACAAAATCAGCAGGGGATCAAATACTTTTTTCCCTCACTGTATATATGTATATGTACATAGGTATTACATCAATAGTTACCTCAATTACCTTGTACCCCTGCACATCGACTCAGTACCGGTACTCCCTGTATATAGCCATGTTATTTTTACTCATTATTGTTATTCGTTACTCACAGTGTATTTATTCCTCGTCACATTACTATTTTTTTAATTTAAAAAAAACAACCTTATCTTTAACTCTGCATTGTTGGAAAATGACCTGTAAGTAACATTTTCACTGTACACTGTTAGTCTACACCTGTTGTTTATTAAGCATGTGACAAATACAATTTGATTGGATTAATTGGAGGGGCCTCACTGGGGGTGAATAGAAGGAGTTGAATTTATATTATGTTATGGATTGTATGTATATTTATATTGCAAGTATATTCAAAAGTCTACTCTATTCAACTACATAGGTTGCATTATAAAGAAGAATGACACAAATGGCACTATTTGGCAGCCACCATATATCCATGTAGGCTAAATGCATGATGCATCATTTGAGGATTATAATAGATTATCTCCATCACACTGCATACCAAGAATGCAGGATGTCACAGGTTGTCCTATAGCAGTTTTAGCATCACTCCGAGGCCTACAGAGGATCGAATGATTTTGCAGGCTACAAATAGCCTACTGACAGGGAGGGCTGTCACGTTCCAGCTGTACATAGCACACTTTAGTCTAGTGCAGGGGTGTCAAACTCATTTTAGCTCAGGGGCCACATGGAGGAAAATCTATTCCTAAGTGGGCCGGACCGGAAAAATCATGGTATATATAACTTAAAAACAACAACTTCAGATTGTTTTCTTTGTTTTAATACGATCAACATACAACATAAAGCTGGAGCCTGAGGACAGTGTGTCCAAAATAGTACAAGCACAACATCACTATTAATCATAAAACACGTCAAGTTTATTTGAAAAAGAAAAAGAAAAAGAACACACAAACACACAATGCCTCAGTGATTAACAGAACTGTTTCACAGATCACAGAACTATATCAGGGTGTCATTTCTCAGGCAGAGATGTAGATAAAATGAATGAAATCCTGTTCCCCAAACAAGTGCAAGAACCACAGAGTCAAGAATAGGTTAAATATACAAATAACATAAAATCAATTAAAAACAATAGCACATCAACATAAAAACATATAAACATAAAGCTGGAGCCTGAGGACAGTGTCCAAAAGCACAACATCACTATTAATCATAAAACACCTCAAGTTATTTGAAAGTTCTGAGGACAAAGAACACACAAACACACAATGCCTCAGTGATTCACAGAAGTATATCACAGATCACAGAACTATATCAGGGTGTCATTTCTCAGGCAGAAATGTAGATAAAAAATAATGAAATCCTGTTCCCCAAACAAGTGCAAGAACCACAGAGTCAAGAATAGGTTAAATATACAAATAAAATAAAATCAATTAAAAACAATAGCACATCAACATAAAAACATATAAGCACACATTTTTCAGACAGGGGAAGTGAGCTGCATCACCACCGGCAAGTTGCGTCTCCCACAATGACAGCTTCAACTTGAAAGAACGTATGCTGTCATAATACTGCGTGACAACTTTGTTGCGCCCTTGCAGCTGTTTGTTCAAGTTATTCAGGTGCTCTGTAACATCCACCATAAATGCAAGGTCCTGCATCCATTCTGCGGAATGAAATTCTAACACTGGTTTGCCCTTTTCTTCCATGAACTGTTCAATTTCTTCTCGTAAATCAAAGAAACGCCTCAGCACAGCACCTCGGCTTAACCATCTTACCTCAGTGTGGTATGGCAGGCCATAGATGTGGTCTTTCTCTCTGAGAAGGCTGTCAAACTGACGGTGATTCAGGCTTCTGGATCGGATGAAATTAACAGTTTGGATGACCACCTTCATGACGTTATCCATCTTTAATGACTTGCAACACAAAGCCTCCTGGTGCAAAATACAGTGAAAAGTCAAAAAATCACGTCCTCCATTTGCAGATTGCACTTTCTCTCTGAACTTTGTCACAACGCCTGCTTTTTTCCCGATCATTGAGGGCGCACCATCTGTAGCCAGGCTGACAGCGCGGGACCAGTCCACTACGACCCTGTCCAGCGCGCCGACGAGTGCGGTAAAAATATCAGCTGCTGTCGTTGTATCTGTCATCGGCACCAACTCCACGAACTCCTCGGTGACGGTCAATGTGTCATCAACTCCGCGGATGAAAATGGCCAGTTGTGCAACATCTGTAATGTCTGTGCTTTCATCAATTGCAACCGAAAACGAAATAAATGACTTTACTTTTTGCTTCAACTGGCTGTCCAAATCCACTGAAAGATCGGAAATCCTGTCTGCAACTGTGTTTCTTGTCAGGCTGATATTTGCAAAAGCCTGCCGCTTTTCAGGGCACACAATCTCCGCTGCCTTCATCATGCATGTTTTTACAAATTCACCCTCACTAAATGGTTTTGAAGCCACTGCGATTTCATTAGCAATGAGGTAGCTAGCTTTCACTGCAGCGTCACTGATGTCTCGGCTGTGAGTAAACACAGACTGCTGTTTCTTCAGACCCGCCAACAGTTCATTCACCTTCTCTCATCTCCGCTGTCCTTGAAAGTTGTCATATTTGTCGGCATGAAGACTCACATAGTGGCGACAAAGGTTATATTCTTTCAGCACTGCAACATGCTCTGAACACACCAAACATACAGCTTTCCCATTCAATTCCGTGAATAAATAGGATGACCATTTTTCTTGGAACACTCTGCACTCTGCGTCCACTTTTCTCTTTTTTGACAGAGACATATTGGGGCAATGAGGGTGCCAAAGCACATAATGTTAAAAGTAGAAGCCGTAATAAATATCGCGGGCAAAACAAAGTAGCTCATTGGCTGCACGTGCTTGACCTACTTGCTCTGCCCCGGTATAAACAGTTTGCTTGCTTAACACAATTGATATTGCGCCATCCAGTGGACGCAATTGGAACAGCAGTTTATTTTATTGAAAAATTGCAGCGCATTTTTATACTTTACAATTTTTTTATTTTATTTTTTATTTTTTTTATCATCTCGCGGGCCGGATTAAACCCGTTTGCGGGCCTGATCCGGCCCGTGGGCCGGACGTTTGACACCCCTGGTCTAGTGGATGTGTGCTGAACCTTCAGTTTGGGAGAGATGTTGATCAGGGGCGTCAGTTGGGTATGGCAGTCGCCATAGCTCAAGACCAAAAATGTTAAGTAGGCAAAAACAAAGTAGCCTGAAATCGTTCCAATCCCGATTAAAATGAAACGACTGTGATTGGCTGACCAGAGCAGCAGCCAGTTTGCACCCTTTTCTCTCACTTGTAGAAAGCAGAGCGCAGACAGTGGCAATTTGCTTTGCCAGTCAGCAGTTTAGGGAGTGCGCCAATTGCTTTGAATTTGACGTCGGCATTTGAACTCTATGGAGGACTAAAAGTGCCACAATTAAATAAATAAATACACCATTAAATAATTACTTAAATGTGTCATTAATTAATTAAAATTAGAATTAAATACATAAATGTGTTATTAAATGTGTCATTAATTAATTCAAATACCGATTCATTTTATGTAAAATACATATATAATTATTTCACTATTTACATTTACATTTCATGATCCTGCATTGCAGTGATTCATGAATTACTTAAAACTGTCAAACTGACCCATCAAAGTCAGTGGGCGGGGCTAACGCGAATCTAGTCTGATCCATTGCTTTGGTCTGAAGTAGAGTAGGCCAACCTGGATAGAGACAATGGAGGATCTCCGTGAACTTTCCAGGGAGTTGGTTAGAGACATTTTAAACTTAACTTAAACTTAGAAGCAGGACCTGCTGACATTATCCGGAATTGATTTGTCTTGGCTTGATGCAGAGGGTAACCAATCAGGCGTTAGGTTCCGCCTACCAACTTTTGATGGGTCAGTTTGACAGTTTTAAGTAATTCAGGAAGCACTCCAACGCAGGACCATGAAATGTAAATGTAAATAGTGAAATTATGATATATGTATTTTACATAAAATGAATCGGTATTTGAATTAATTAATGACACATTTAATAACACATTTATGTATTTAATTCTAATTTTAATTAATTAATGACACATTTAAGTAATTATTTAATGGTGTATTTATTTATTTAATTGTGGCACTTTTAGTCCTCCATAGAACTCGGCCTTCTAAACCTTGTTGTTATCTGATAGCAATTAATTTGTTATAAATTAATT